TATTTACTTTAAAACTTTAAGCAAAATTTTAAAGGTCCTCCTAGTACTTGCAGCATGCATACTATTGTGCAGTATTTTCACTGTGAATTGCTGTTTTCCCTATCAGTCCTCCCAAATAAAAAGTCTTAGTTTAGCAACAGTACCCTTTACCTACAGACAAACTACAGGAGTTTAACTCTGGAAGAAAATCCCAAACAATTTAAACCCTTCCATTCAGAAAAGATAGCAAGAATTAACTAATCACAAATCTCTATCTAAGAAGGCTCAATGAAAAGTTGTGATAAGGGATTAATAGAAATCTATGCAAAAGAACAGCTGGAAACAGGAGGAAGAAGAGTTGAGTGAATGTTTTGAGAAAAGAGGCAGGCAATAAGAAAGCAAGCAGCTTTGGAAAATTCATGCATATCTTCCTTATTACAATAGTGTTGTGAAATCCAGATCAAATTACTGGCCTAGTGCCTAGAACATGCCAGCTAACTGCAAGTCCACAAACACTGACTGTCAAAGAACTCTGCAGAGGTAAAACTTAATGTTTATCTACAAAATAAAACAAAGCAAATCCTCTGATTGTTTTATAGATGGATTTTACATTTTCAACGCCTTAGCTCCACCTGCTTTTATAATCTAATGAAAATGTACAATTGTGCACTAATCTAAAAGCACCATTCAAATAAGGTAGGCAAAAGTGCATTAAACACTGTGCAGATTCGAATCAACAAGGGTGCAAGCAAGTCTAAATGTAGAGTTGGATGCACATATTTTAATAATTAAACTAATAATCTAGATCCTTTTAAAATATTCAGATATTTAACAAATACAAGATGCCTACTTTCTCATTTTCCTGTATAACTGCTTTACCTTAAAAGAAAAAAATAACATTGACACTGTATATATAGAGGACTTCAGTTTAACATACCAATCAGTCTGTGGCAAAATCTGTTTTAATGGGTGTATCAGTTGTTCTGTGTAGGTCATACTTAATACAGTGAGACTATCAGTCATTTGATGGGTTGGCTTTTCCTATGCGCCTTGCACGCTATGGTACCTTTTGTATAGTTTCCACAAGCAATTATTTATATGAAAGTGCACAAAAGTCGCCTCAAGGTGTATTAGATCTTATTGTAATTAGTCCTGAAAATATAAACAGGTTTATTTGATCATATATTCAGTTTGATAATTTTATTCTTAAGCAACAGCATTGGGAAAATTTACAGGAAATCTTCACTGAACAAATAATGAAGTTGAGAATAAATTTCGAGTGTTGGACCCTGCCTGTCTACTCTTCAATAAAGAGAAACCAAAAAGATGCAAATGTGACACATAAATCACATACACAAGGCAGAATGAAACAGTAAATAATAAAACCAAATAAGCCAAACTGTTAGGAATTAGTTCTCTTACAGGTATAACATTATGAGTGCCTTTTAGGGAGTCTGACTGATAGTGACAGAGAAGGACAGCAATTTATTTTAATAATGGCAGCAGTTATCTGAAAAGCTATAATGAGTTAAATGGGGCATCATATTTTATTTTGGCAGTTTACTGTGTGTTCACTTAGAAAAATGCCTTCATGCAGCTCTTTAAAGCCATCAAAACCTGAAGCCTAAGAGAGACTAAAAATACTCCCCTGTTCCTAAAACTGCTTCATACAAACCACTTAAAATCTATTTTAACATTTTAATGAGAATTGCTGCCATCTTAATCATAGAGCTCATTTTAAAGTATCAGTTCCTTAAATCAATTTTTTTTAGTTAGAAGGCTGTCTCTTTAGCAGAGTTACCTATACTGAAACTCAAATGGTCACTGAGGTCCAAAGAAACCCGCTCGGTTTTAGCATGGAAAATTGCCTTCTCTGTAAAGCAGTCTCCAAGGGCAGGTATAGTTTCACATGTCATTTGTACAAAAGCGGCATTTATATCGGTCAATGCATAAGTTTTTATACCTACGGTCCTCTATTTTAGTAATAGTTTGCTATATAGAGAGAAAAACAAGAGCAGCAACAACCAATTTTACTGCATTTACCTACTACTTTTATTTAAGGCATAAAGACTTGTACTTTTAATAAGAAATTCAGACAATTCCTTTTATATATTTATGTCATGGCTACAATTTTCCAGACAAGATCTGCACAGTCATTATTTTGCTTTTGTATATCCCTGCAATGCCACAGATATCTTCCTTGAATGTAAAAATGTTTCCTTCTTGAAGCAATTTGTAAACCCAAATAAAGCATAATAAAGTCCACTCCTTAACCACCAATGACCTTCGTATTGGTCTCAGCTCTTTTTAGCAGAACATGAATACATAAACTGTAGAGAAAACACGGCATGATTTGCAGAGACTAAATATCAATCTCTTACTGGTTGAAATAAATCTAAAGAGATTTTGCAATGTCATGTAAGTGCAGCAGTGGTCACAATATATATCAAACCTTTTGTGAACACCTTTCTTTTCAATCTAATATGGCAAATGTCTCAAGTTACTAAAAAAGTCTGACAAGATAATCAAGGACTAAAGAGCTGCTAGTGGCATTTTCAAAACAACTTCATGATACACTAGAATCACGAAAATGTAAAATATTTCAGAAAATCCTATAAAGGGAGTTAATACAAATGTGTGTCCATGAATTTTTTGAATAGGAGGTCTTCTGAAGAATGGCATCAGAATCAACAAATTTTGGAAAAAAAGGTATATATGTTGGAATAGCCACAGGAAGTATATATTTTGGTATGAGTAGCTTAAAACCATTTCAAACTACTGCCATTGCTATATTTAATATTTCTTAAGATAAACTAATAAAAATAAAACAACCCAAGATTAAGACAGCTATAAATTATAAGTGAAAGATATATATTATTTCAGATAATAAAATACAATAAATTTTAAAATAGGCTTAAGTATCTTAAGTCTTAAGATACTTTAACAATCAAAAGGCAATGGTTTTTGACAGAATAAAAGTCATGTGCAAGTGCTCTAGAGTACAGGATAGAAAAGTAATTCCAAATAACAGTCAAAGAAAGATTTTATTTCATTTTCATTYTAAAGGCACAGGAAAATATCACCAGATTCTGAAACAACTTATATCCTTTTAATAAGCTTATTTCCTTTTTTCCAGCAGATGAAAGGAAGATCTGCAGTTAAGCAATTAGTGAAGGAGCAAAACAACTCATTATTACCAATTTGCAGTAATAGAGATAGATAGAGAACATTTGGTTTACAATCTGAAATTTTATCAGAGCACATAATAACTACATACATGAAGACTTCTATATTTAACGTTTTGTTGTATGTGTTAAATATAAGTTATAGAACTTATAGAACCGAAACACAGAAACTACTTCAAATTCTAAAACTTTTTCTAATTAAAAATATCTATTTGATATTTACACATATATCACATATATCCTCTTTTGGGGTGCACACTTCTTGCACCGTTGCCATTTTGTTGGCATGCTTGTTTGTGGAAGTTTTTCAGCATATATGAAAGTAAGAGTGGCATGCTGTATTTCCACTAATTAAGAGAAGTTGCAGCAACCAGCAAGTATGCCTTTATATAACATGGCTATATGCAAAGGAAAGGTTGCAGCTGAAAATCCACAGATACTTAAGTGGAATTCTGCACCAGGGACAAACATGGCTGAAGTAATACAGCTTCCAGTCCAGAAGAGCTCAGAAGAGCTGAGGGAAGGAGGGGCAGTGGAGGAGGGAGGAGGAAGAGATGGAGAAACAAAAAGAAATGAGCGATCAGCAAGAGGCAGCACTATTTAAGGACAAAGTATGAGCAATTACTTGGCACAAATTCATCAGAAGAAAACTGAAAGCTAAGTGTGCAAGAGACCTAATAAATAAGATCCTCCTCTTCTCCTCTCCCAAGGGAAAGTAATCTTATGTCTTAAGAATTTGATGTACTCTTGCAGATAGAAGATATTCAAAAGTACTAAAGAATTTTAGCCTGCCTTAAATGAGTTTCTACTTTCTTCCTTCCCCACTTCCCCCAGCAACACTATTTCTCTCCTTGCAAGATTAATCACGCAAAAGAATTGGTCAAACATTCATGTCGGTTATGAAAGTCCCTTTAATCCAACTACAGAATAGAAGAAATGGTGTTTATCTTCTGTGGACAGTCAAAATAGTCTCCATTCTGAACTATTTATTTATTTTAACTGAAAGAGTACAAGACAGTAAAAGGTAAAAAAGAGATCAGTTCACAAATAGACTTTGCAGGAGGAAAGGCATCTCGAAGGTAGTATGGCTCTTGTTGCTATTTGTATATGGAACATCTTTCCTTCAAGTATTTTTTCTTACAGAAAACTTGCTAATTTTTAATTAGCAATTATTTAAAAAATACTGGACAAACTCAAACTGTTATATATTGCTCTGTAATTCTTCAGGCTGGAAAAAAGCATTTTCACCCCAAATCCTGTGATGAGTTACAGTGACATGGACAATAGTGAACTTTGGGGAAAAAAATCTAGTTTATTTTCAGTGGTCACCATAAATGTAGTTTTGAGGTGAAGTACTTCAATTAAAATATTGTAATAAAATCCATTTTATGCCCACTATGCCAGCAACATTTGCAAGAACAGTTCATCTGTGTAGAAATATGAGTCCTGGAAAACTGCCAGGGCCTCCAAGTATGACCTGCTGTGCAAATGCTGATTATGCAAGTTAAAGCTGTCTGGGGTGAATTTAATTTAGGTTCTCTATTTTGCAAGATTCCAAATAACTATACTTTATTTGCAGCAACCATGTCAAATTCCAAATTTGTATTTGACAYGCTTTCAGGATTCTTGCCAATTCAATAAAGCAAAATCCTCTTCTATTTGCAAAATGAAAATAAGTTTATTCCAGACTGCATAAGATACTGAGGCATTAACACACTTCTGAAAGCATTCAGAAGAATCACTCCTACTTACCTTTGCTTGAAACATTTACAGAAATAGCTATAACACTTCAATGATTTAGTTCAAAACAACAAAAAAAAGTGACAATCATACCTCTGCTTACTATGAATAATTAAACATGTATATCCAGTTTATCTTGAAACTCATTTAAAAAAAGCCAGATGCTGCTTAGATTTAGAGAATCATGGAATAATTCAGATCAAAAGGGATCTCATCAGGTCATTTGGTCCAATGTTTTTCTTACAAAGCAAGGCTAACATCAATATTGGATCAAGTTGCTCAGGGCCTTGCCCAAGCCGAAGCTTGCCTATTTCCAAGAATGGAGATTGAAAAGCCTCTCTGGATGACCTGTTTCAGTTCTTGCCTCCCCATTGTGATTTTTTTTCCCTAACATCCTAAAAGAATTTTCCGTGAGGATTTGTACCCTCTGACCCTTACACTTTCACTCTGCACTTCACAGAAGAATGTCCGTCTTCTCTATAAATACACATTAAATAGCTTAAGACAGCAGTAAGATCTCCTTTTCACCTTCCCTTCTGGAGGCTAAACAAATACAGTTCTTCAAGCCTCTCCTCATACTTCATGTCTGCCGCCCCTTGCCATGTCGGTGGCCCTTGGCTGGAGTCATTCCAATTTCTCAACAGCTGTTAGAATCATCATTTCATGTCATTAAAAAATTTCATTGTACTGAATACAACCAAGCAGCAAGATGACAGTTATTTAAATTCTGAACAGAGATTCCAAGTAAAATGTTTTACAAGCATAACAAAATGTAATAATATCTAGATTTAAAAGAACACCCAAATGCCAAACAGGTTCCCTACTCTTTATTTTTAAAAGACTAAATTATATTAACATTCAACAACAAAGAGTTAGTAGACACACATGGTATCTAAGTGTTGTTAAAGGAGCTGATTCAGAAAGTAATTTCTGACAAGGACATTCATGGCAGTAGTGCCTATGCTGAGGTCATGTTTTCTAGGAGACTGCTGCTTATAAACTACTGGTATTCAGGTAACTGCAAGCTTAAAAGATAACTCAGATTTACACCTCAAATATGAATATACTCAAAGGAGTAAACTAAACTAATTTCAGCAAAATAGTACTCTTGCGGGATATCAATAAACAACAGTAGCTAATTTTAACAGGTAGGGGATTTTCTTTTTTCCCCAGACTTGTCTACTATGCATTTCCCCTTCCCCAACGACAGACCACTAAATTAATGGAAGTGATTAGAGTGACTGTAAAAGGAGTGGAATGTTTCCATGGAGAATCACAATAAATATGCAAGTTCTAAGTTCTCCTACACTGGAAAAACAACAGATTTCATTGCCCATGATATTTRGATAGTAGAAGGTTTTCTTGTTTGTTCGCTTCTATAATTAATGACAAAAGCGTGTCCCACCTGAAAAAAACAAAACAAAGAAAAAAAAACCTGTATTGCTCAAGATTGCTGACCAAAATAAAATTGTTTTGTTTCATACAAGCCATATCTCATGCAATGTACAGCTTTTAATACATACAGTTACAACATACTGCAAAATAGCAATTAAATACTTTTATGGTTTTCCATAACATAGATTTAGTAACATTTTGTTCGCATTTAAAGGTTATATTTGCAATTTTAAGAAATGAAAATTAATTTTATTTAAATGAAAGCACCAGTGTTGGAAACTTTTGTGGTATTTGAATAGAAGAAAAGTGTTTCCCCTCCCCCACTCCAAGTCCTGCTATTTATTACTTCATTTCCTGTATTTTTTGGCAGGCTTTAGATAAGCCAGCAACTACTAACTGCAGTTCTGGTCACAGAATGATACGACTAATTCTGCTAGATAAGTGTCTTATTTATTCACATACATATCAATTGTTATGTAATATTACTTTGTAAGCTTTAGAACAGATTCCCCAGTTTTAAGTTGTAACTGATTTCCTATTTGTTACTTACTGTTAAATTTATTTTAAAACAGATATTAAACATACTTCATAGAAGAAAAATTGTCCAGAAATAAAGAAACATGATGACGGCAAGATTCTTCTGTTTAATGTTAATAGCAGTTCTGGGAGCTACTGCAAGTAAAACACAGGAATTTGAAAGCAATGATGAGGAAACAGAGCAAGAATTCATTTATACCAACAGGTATAAGCGTTCCAGTGATACACAGGACAAGTGCACTTATACCTTTATTGTACCTCAACAGAGAGTGACAGGTGCCATTTGTGTTAATTCAAAGGAACCTGAAGTCCTACTTGAAAACAGGGTAAATAAACAAGAATTACAATTACTTAACAATGAACTTCTTAAACAAAAGAGGCAAATAGAAACTCTGCAGCAATTGGTAGAGGTGGATGGTGGAATTGTTAACGAAGTTAAGCTTTTACGAAAAGAAAGCAGAAATATGAACTCTCGTGTCACACAACTATATATGCAGCTACTACATGAAATTATCCGAAAACGGGACAATGCCTTAGAACTTTCCCAACTTGAGAATAAGATTTTGAACCAAACTGCAGATATGTTGCAACTTGCAAACAAATACAAAGACTTAGAGCACAAATACCAGCATCTGATGTCAATTGCCAATAATCAGTCAACAATAATAGCCCAATTGGAAGAACACTGTCAAAGAATGCCATCCATAAAGCCACTGCCACAGACTCCACAGCCACCTAACAAAGTGTATCAGCCTCCCACTTACAATCGCATTATTAACCAGATATCTACTAATGAGATTCAGAGCGATCAGAACTTAAAGGTTTTGCCACCTACCTTGCCAACCATGCCTGCAGTTACTAGCATTCCAACTGGAACTGATAAGCCATCTGGTAAGTAGCATTATTGGCATGCCTATATTAACTTATTTTAATATGGATTGATTAATGTATCAAAAATGCAGATGGCATATATTTATTTAGCAAAATAAATGCAAACAAATGAGTTTGAACTGATGGAGGTTCAGTTAAGGCCATTGGACTTGTGGTTGCTGCTGTATGTTTAAGTGCTTTAACAATGCTTGCCATAAGGTTATAATTCTCTTCTTTAAACTATAAAAGAATGCATTACACCAATTGAGAAGTACTTCAGACATTGTGTTACTGCCACATTATGCTCAGTTACGGTTATTATAGGTTTCAGCTACTGCAACAGCTTTTAAGGGTGTGTATATGTATCTGTGAGAGAAAAAGGCAAAGCTCCATGGAAACCATAAGTTACACTGGTTCCAAATTTGTCACTGGTACAAATCAAAGATTAAAAAAGAACAACAAAAACAAGCTAACATATGATAGGATGTCAGTTTCTGAGGAATCCTAAGACAAAGCATAAATGTAACTGAGGACTGTCTAGAATATTTAAAAAATGTCTCTCAGCTCACTATAGTTTGGACAGAGTTCACAGAGTGGTATTTCAAACTATGGAATATGCATTAATTTTCAGCTTGTTACATTCTGGCTTTAACAACTTTAGGATAATATAACTAATCTGACTTATTTTCAAAGCTTTTTTTTCAGGAGAAAAGAGATGAAAATGAAAATATGAGTAGTTGAGTGAAATGATGGAATATATTGAGAGTGATTAAATCTAATTAGGGAAGTTAATCATGATTTTCAGACTTCAGTCCCAATTTAAACCACATTTGATATTCAGATGCATGTGAACGTCCATCATTAGCTCTATATACACTGCACCACTTGAAAATAGACCTGAAGTTAATAAAAATTAATAGAAGGATGCTCAGTGAAGCAAATCTTTCTTTGGACTTTTGGACTCAACCACTTAATCAACTGACATTCTAGTATTATTTTAACTTCTATGCCTTACTGTGGTTTTGCTTTGAGAATATAAATGGTAACAGGTTCAGTTACCATTTTTTTGATGGCCTCAGATTTTGATTGATTGATTGATGCCTCAGATTGTGTTATTTATTACTGATCTGAATAGTTTAGAAGTGACAAATAGGATCTTTAGCTAAAATATATTTTTAGCCCTAAAGTTAATAAAACTGACAGTAGTATAGGTAAAAAAAAAAAAATTCTTAATGTAGATAAATCCTCATTTCTAGTCAGCTTCTGAAACTTTGGCCTTTTGTTCTTTCTCAAAATAGGAAGCAGCTTTACTTCTGCTCGTAAGTTTTTAGGTCCTTAAAGTCAGAGTTATTTTGAGATTCTGCATTTTTACTTAAGAGATAATTGTTATGACATGGTTATGCAGTCACTTTTCTTTAAGATCAAATAGGAAGGAAAATAGTTTGTGTCCTACTTTATTTTTAACTTTTTAAAATATATATAGATTAAAATGCATCTCAGCAGCTTTACCCCAAGCTAATGAAAAACAGCAATCAGGCTAAGACTGATTCTGATCAAACAAAACCACAGTAATACCCAACAGCCTTCCATAGTAAGGGACATTATATGGTGCTCATTAGTGTCTTTAGAGTTCTGTCATAAAGCAGAATGGAGGCATATATAATCATATTAGACATTACTTCAACTAGATGATTAGAAAGTAAAGAATCTAGATTAACTTATAGTTTCACATACTTCCATAAACAATATACCTATTATGGGTCCAAATGTATGAATACAGAAGTAATATGGCTTTCAGTTTGTGTGGGCAACATGCACTTGCTTCAAAAATAAAGAGGGGCCTCATAAACATCTAAAAAAAGAACTGAAATAGAGTTAGTCACATAAGCTACACACAGCACACTTATCAGGCTATTTGCAATACCTTCCAAATGACAGTTTTAAGATTTCTAAATACTGTACCTGGGAAACTAAACACACATTTATCTCTCCTTGGAAACACCTACTACAACAACAAAAAGCTTGAACACTTGTTTTGGTCTAAAACACAGCCTTCAGCACACTTTCTCACCAACCACTTGTTTGATTATGTTGCCAAAGATGAATCTGCCTAAGCTCGCATTGTGAAATGCCAGACTTTAGCCAGAACATAATGATTCTAATGTTCTATGTAAAATGACATTTCGAACAAAACCCTTTCCACAGGTAATACTGCAAAAGTTCCTTCAGCTAACTGGTCATAGGCATCTGGAACAAATTTGAAAAATCCTGCTTAGGCTCAGCCATTTAAAATAATCTACATATGATTTTATTCAGTTGTTTCTGTACTGTTTTTTGAGTTTTCAACTTGCATCAATGCTCCTGGCTATTTACCTGATCATATAAAATATTCAGCAACAGATAAAAACAACAGATATAAAAAGTGATAAACAGAACTGATTAACAAAAAATAATATAGATTTAATGCATTCTCTATCTCATCCATCAGCAACACTCCTTTCTCACTCAGTAGCAGACCAATACTTTCCTCTTGATCAAATACTTAATTTCTCATTGGTTTTATTTTGTCCCCACTGCATACATTAGTCCACAATTTGACACAGCTGGTATTTGAACATTACTGAGTAATCTGAAGCAGGTTCTACTTTGTCTGAGCTTTCTTTACCTTTTCAGAGCTATTCAAAAGCTCATGATTTAGGCAGATCAGTTTCTTACCATCTTCCATAGTCTTTCACATTAGTGAAATCCATTACAAATATCCTTAACAGAGACTTTCTAGGAAACTAGTAAAGTCTTCCAACAAACTTATTTCATATGAATCTTCTCTGCCCATTCTCTGAATTTGCTGAATTCTGTTTTAGTCAAGTCTATCAGACAAGTTTCATTTTTCTATTTGCTTTCTCCTCTTAAGAACTGTGAATACTATTATTTCTCAGTCAAACTAATTTCCGTTTCACATTTTCAACCACTTCTTCCCTACTTACTAGGTTCCAAACTAGTATATCCTGCTCTGTATTTGATGTATTTATGTATTTATTAAATAAATTCACAAATTTGCTATATATGCTTTATCTGCAGTATTCCTCTCCCAAGCAGTTGATCAGGTAGTTAGCAATTCAAAAAAGCAAAAAGTTAGAAAATCAGAAAAGCCCAACTTTTATCAACATACAGTAAAAATTTGTGGACCACAGCACATGTATTCTCCAGGCTTGAACTTTCAAGTGGAACATAGTATTTAGTATTTCCTATACTAAGCTATGAATTGTAATATTTTTATTAACTATTCTTCTAAGAAATATACTGACTTTCCTTATTTTTGTCTACCTAAATTGCTTTTATCACTAGGATTATTTAAAATGCAAAGGAGGGTGGAAGGGTTGTTTTGAAGAAAATGCAAAGCAAGGGCTCAGTAAACAAATACCAGTAATATAAAAAATACCCATGAAATCACAGATGCATAAAGTTTTACAAGTAGAATGTCAGCAGGCGCATGTGCAGCATGTACGGTATAGATAGATTATTAACGAGATGGATGGTAGCATGTATAACAGTTCTTTTAAGGTTAGTAATGATTGTATCACAAGTTGAAAAAAGATGATCATGCTGAAGAAATGCTTCCATCAAGACACATGAAAAAGTTTTAAGTACCATAGATGTCTCAAAGATTACCAAAACATAAACTGCATTGTGATTTCTGTTTGTAAAGTACTTGGAGTATTCTGCTTTCTTTCTGAGTAACGAGCATCTGAGCAAACACCAATATAATGGACTTAAAAAAAAAAAAAAAAAAAAAMCACTTTAACATGTAAAAGAGCGCCTTGCAGAAAGGGGCGATTAGCATCAGAAATGAAACCACATTTAAATAAATTAAGCAGATGAACTGCACAGAAGGTGAAATTTCTGTTCTTAAATTACTTTGGTACTTAAATTACATTTGGTACTAATGGTTTTAAATTAAAATTACAATTAAAAGTTACATGAAACCAAGTTTCCACTGCCTTGTGAAGCACTATTTACAATTACTGAATCCTATCAAAAGCAAGGAAAATACATGCAAGAGAGCAACACTTCATATCAATAAAAAAGTAAAATGTTATGTAGCATGTATCAATGTGAAGTAGAATTAAATAAATCTTGTTAATTCCTAAGAACACTCCTCACGACAAATATAGGAATTTAGAGGAGAGGGTGTATCAAAGTCATGCTGTTCTGCATTCCTTGTTTTTCATTGCATGGTAAAAGAACATCTGAAATGTTCTTTTATCTTCAAAATAGCTAAATTCCATATGCACCAAAGTGCTTTATAAGCACAGTAAAGTAGAGGCCAGGCTTCAATGACAGGAGCTTAGACACAAGCACTCCCTTTCATGTTGCTTTTGAGTTGTAGTGCTACAACTTTTTTTTTCCACAATTGTTCCCTTCAAAGGACCAATCAATCATTTTTATGTACGACATATAACATTAAATATTGTCAAAACAATACAATAACAAGACCAGTGTTTAAGAAATGTAAAGATTAAGAACTACAGTATAAAAGATTTCATCATGTAATTCACAGATATCATTAAACAGAGAAAAATACATAGCACCATCAAATCTTGTTATGATGTTTCAGATCAGAATCTAGCCTTGTGCTACATGAGAATTCTGAAATAAAGAATAATCTGTAGACAGTATAATTTTATTTGACACATTTTTCCTAGATACTGAATTCTGAACAATTTTTAAGAATTTAAAATTCACTACACCATTGTATCGCCATCTTATGCATCCATCCAAAATTATTTTTGTAGTTAAAAGTGTGTTAGAAGCAGCACTCTATTTACAGTCCACAAGTTCAAGTAAGAAAGCAAGAACAACACAACACAGACCAGAAAACTTGAATCACGTCCTGTGGATTAATTTCTTAAAGTACTTAAAGAAATAAAAGAACCTGACATAAAAAGAAATGAGCTTCTTGCTACAGAACTTTTTAATTAATACTCATTTATGGAGTACAGGTAAAGCCCTACTTCCAAAGCTGAATAATGAATTATGAAAAAGGATAGATGAAAGGAAATAATTTAAAACAGAAGCTACTCTTAATAACCACCATACACTTCAGTATGGGTACTGATAGAGAAGATCTGACATGTCTTACTCTCTCAGCCTAAAAAAAAATCAAAAACAAACAAAAGGGGTCTTTGACCTCAAGGATTCTCATCAACTCCTTCTGCTTGGCAGGCATACGAGCATAGCAGCAAAGCAATTAGAGGAGTCTATCTGCAGATGCCAATACAAACTGACAAACATAAAACATTGTAAGACTCTCCTCATTTACCTAGTATCTCCCTCACTGTGTAAGACATTCCATATATTACAAATCTGAATTCTTATTTTGTATTTAGTCTTCTATAATTTGAGTGACAACAGTAACATTTACATTAATTTCTGTGGCTAATTCCATTGTTCTTAATGTCCTTGCCATTGATAATTTCAATAATCTGAAAAATCCCCCAAAAGAAACTAAGTCAAATTTATAATTTTGTTTTCCAAAGGTAAAATATTACTATTCGTCTTTGAACTAGTTCATGTCTAGTTTCCTTATAAATAAAAATCAATGTTCTTACACTTCAGTTTCTTTTTTCTTGTTAAGGCTACTATTTCTCTTATTTTTTTCATTGGTAACTGTGATGTGTTCCAGAAGTTTAAAAATAGTTTCCACATAGTAGAAACTATACCTTCAGAAGATGAAAATGATGCAGTTCTCAACGAAAGCAACTCTACTGTTAAAGGAAAAAAAAAACTAGCAAGTCAAATAYTGTTCTGCATTTAAGATATACTCAGTTACTCTTTGACTGCAAAGCCCTCCTGTTTTGACACAGGGCCCTGGAGAGACTGTCTACAGGCCTTAGAAGATGGTCATGACACCAGCTCCATCTATCTTGTAAAACCAGAAAACACAAACCGACTTATGCAGGTCTGGTGCGATCAACGGCATGACCCTGGTGGCTGGACAGTCATTCAGAGACGGTTGGATGGGTCCGTCAACTTTTTCAGGAACTGGGAGACATACAAGGTTAGGACAAGTGAGGCATTTGGTATCTTCTACCCTTTAAAAAATTACTGGCAAATTTAATGTAAAGGATGTTGGTTTTAGAAGCTGACTAATAGTGCATTTAAAAAGCAAATGTGTGCTTTTACCCTTCCAGAAGGGAAAGCCTTTATGAAAATAAGCTATTTTGGTTTGTTGTTTAAGAATGCACTAGGACTTATCGGTGAAACAGTCACAATTTTTAACATGATTCTCTTTCTTTCTTCATAGCAAGGATTTGGTAACATAGATGGAGAGTACTGGCTTGGTTTAGAAAACATTTACTGGTTAACAAATCAAGCCAACTACAAACTGCTTATAACAATGGAAGATTGGTCAGGTCGGAAAGTATTTGCTGAATATGCTAGCTTCAGACTGGAGCCAGAAAGTGAGTATTTCAAGTTGAGATTGGGACGCTACAATGGCAATGCTGGAGACTCTTTCACTTGGCACAATGGAAAACAGTTTACCACTCTAGACCGGGACCATGATGTATACACAGGTAGGAAGCTCCTTTTTGTCTCTTTTTTTTTTTGCAAAAGGAAAAACTTATGCTCACACACACAAAAAATATAATGAAGTCATAACTATGCTTTTAGTGAGTTGACTATTAAAAACTTGCAACGCACAAACTAATTCATGTTCTGAAACCTCATGAAAACTAATACTGAAACAAAAATTCTTATTGAGATATTTAATATTTGAACTAATCTAGAAATAGGAATCTGTAAAATATTGTATTGGGGATTATTTGAGACAGTAATGCAAAAATTTGAATTTGGGTCCAAGGCAATAAATATTCTAGTGATAGAAAGAAACAGTAATGAGGAGAACTACAATTTCTGTAGAACTTAAGAGCTGGAGTCTTAATTCACCTTTCTTTTACCACATGGAATCTGTGTGTTAAATATAAAACCAAAATTTCTGTTTTGTGCTTAGCCAGTTTGTTTGCTGTAAAATTTTTCATTTGCTCCCAGGATTGACTTAGAACTTTCTTTTGTAGGTAACTGTGCTCATTACCAGAAGGGAGGATGGTGGTACAATGCATGTGCTCATTCAAATCTCAATGGAGTCTGGTATCGGGGAGGACATTACCGCAGTCGGTATCAAGATGGTGTTTACTGGGCTGAATTCCGGGGTGGATCATATTCACTAAAGAAAGTTGTTATGATGATAAGACCTAACCCCAACACATTCCACTGAAATTCTTCTTATAGTGGTTTATTTTCCTGTTCTTTTTAAGAAGCATGTGAAGCTATACTGTTATCTGAAATTATTTTTACAGAAACAAAATATGTAAGATATTGTACATTTATTGCTAAGATATGAGGGCTTGTATATTGTATTTTCAAGAAACATTCCTACGGAAATTAAAAAAAGAAGAAAATGAAATGACATAACATGCAGAATTCTTCTGTGCTAAAATGTGCTAAAGGCAAATATTAAACCTTTTATAACTGGCAGTTGAGAGTGACTGTAGATAAGCTTTGTTTTTTTTTTTTTAATCTCCTGTAAATTAAGTTAGATCATAAAAATACTGCCATGACATTTAAATATTTTTGTATGTTATGATATGTATAAAAATTCACAAATATAGGAAATATTACAAACTGTACAGCAAGAGTTTTATTCTTATTATTAGCAATCATTTGACACAGGAAATCACATCCTTTGAACTACGTAGCTGGTATATGTACAGTGGTGATACTATTCTAATTTAATCTTTGTTAATTGCCATTAATAAAGTTAGCGCTATCTGCTCACAAACACAAATTATATACTCAAACCGTTACTGTGACGACAAATTCAGGCTGTCCCCTTCACTTCAAGCCTCTTAATACCTCTGCTCCTATTATTTACTATTCACTTTTAATTAAAGTATTTTAGATTAAAAAAGTCGTTTATTATACCAAAGTGAACTGCCTACATATACATGGAAATACAGTCAGATGTACAATGGCTACAGTATGTTGTACAGCCAAAAAGTTATACTAAACAACAAATGTCAATTTATTTTGTACCTGACTTCAGCCACTCTTTATCATTTAGCCTCTGTAGTCAGAATGGCTGAACATAAATTAAAGGAACTATCCAACTTTGCAGGCAAATGATGGATACCAGTATATAATCTATTTAACCCCCTTAGCCAGTAGATTAAAATTATATAAAGAAGTTATCTGTACTCAAGAGCAGTTATATTTACCATATTTCACAATTATAACATGTTATTGCCTATCAATGTCTTAAACAGATTTACTCACCTATGTTTATATGTCAGTAACAACTATGAAATAGGACAGATCTAATAATCTGTGGAGGTCAGTTTACATAACAGATTTTTGTAATGTCCATTTCAAAATATAAATGAGTAGTTAGAGAAAGCATATATGATAACGGCAAAAGGCCTTGGTTCAATGTATTTTTCAGTAAGCCTGTGAGATTTTGAATGAGTGCATGCAAGTATGTGTACGCATGTGTACCCATGCATACTTTTTCCCTTGTTACCTCATCACTTCTTTACAAATGTATGATGTGCATTAAAGTGATGCCTGATGTAGCATGTGATGTATATAGCTGAAAGTAGGTTTTTTCTAATATATTATTAGATTATTCCTGTAACATTGCATTCTTTTAATAAAGCAATATTATTTTGACATATTTAAATTTCATCCTGTTTCAGGATCCTGTTTCAACTGTTTCAGTTCAGATTACCTAAAGAATAGAATAGATAATTATCTAATTTAACATAGCTCTTTGCAATTCAGATCTGCTCTAATTCACACTCATTATTAATCTATGTAGAGTTTATTGTCTAAAATTGCAATATTAAAAGCAAAGTCATTCCCAACTGAGAAAAATACAGAATTTCCAGACATTCCAAAGGTTCAAGAAATCATTGTAGGTCAAATTTTCAAACAGTATTGAATATTCATCTTTGATTTATCCACTGGACTTTGGAAAACAAGTGAGTGTTTAATGTTTAGCTAAGAAACATTAAATATGTGTATTCATTCTGTAGCCTGGCTAGTATTCTTACAACTAAGATTATTATATTAAGATAAGATAGCTCCTGTTAACATTGACATCAACTACTAGTTCTGTTAGAACCAAACATGTATATTTGACTGATGCCCACATTAGAAGAATCACTTATCAGGAAGCTCTTTCAAATGCATAGTTTGTATGCATATTCAATGTCCATTACCAAATACATAAGATTTCCTGAAAAATGCTTTACCCTTAGGTAAATGTTTCTACTCCACTTTCTTCCAGTGCTCCCTCTGTAATGCGCTACCAAAGCATTTATCGTTAGGCCACAAAGTATACCACTTAGCTTCTCACAACGCACAATCCGCAGAGAAAACAAGATAGAGTGGCAAAACAACACAACACACAGTAACATATCATCCATATAACATATATGCAGTAGTTTGGAAGAACTTATTACTGGTAAATAACTATGCTAGAGTGCTTGCCCACTTTTAAAATATAGTTCACTACAAACAGTAAAAGTACCTCCCTGCAGGCACAGGTTACATGAAAGTTTCTGTCAGAAGCTTTATGAAGACAGCAAATAAAAGATGGTCTTCCAAGTGCCACTTCATGCTTGAAATTATCTGCACCGAGAAGTGCTTAGCTAAACACAGAAGTTCTTAGCTTTGTGAAAGAATGCACAGAGCTTCAAGTAACCATTCGCATATATCAATGATGGGGTATATGATCAGAAAAGGTATCAAAGTTTCTTTTCTGTAGCAACCTACACAGCTACAGATATATCTCCATAATATACACTCATGATCCATGTCATGAATGAAAATATTAAACAGTATTGGATCCAATATCAATCCCTGTGGTACAACACTAGGGACTGGCTTCCAACTGGACTTCATGCTACTTTTAATACTGACATTGTTCTTGTATTTTAAGGTATCTTTGTCAAAATACTGAAGAAAACAAATTTTCAGTATAAACAAACAGTGAAGTTCTTCCTATAGCATTTAGAAAAAAAGTCTATCTTAGAATATTTAAGCCATTTGAGTAGATAATGTTTTATTCAGTTATGCATAAATTTCACAAATGCTCATTCCAGGGACTCTCTTGTTATCAATGCCTTGTCTCCACTCTCTACTGTTACAGGTATGTATTTATACAATTACAGATTGTAGCAGCAGACTCCAATCTTTATTTATTTATTTATTTATTTATTGATATACAGATATATCATGACTGCTACTATTTCTCAGAACAAACTGTGGCTAAGTGTTTCCAGCATTCCAAACCACAGTCCTGATGATCTCAATATCACTCAGAGAACGGGGGTTGGGGGGGGGACGTTTTAAGACAGTGGTTTTACACATAGTAAAGAACATACAAGCCAATTAACAGCTTGAGGTAGTGAACACACCATTTTTTTTCTGTATTGGCTTACTTAAAGGAACAACTAACAACACATCCTGAGAAGGATGTGAAGGATCCTGAGAAGGACACTTCAAAAGAGCGGGGACACAGCCTCATCTTCACTACCACAAGACAGTGGTGCTCTCTGTGATGGATGAATCCTCAGGTGTAACATAGGATAGGAAGTCTAACATAAGTTAGTTGGACAGTTGCGTTAATATTATTATGGATTTCAGTATCTAAATAATGACTATCTTTTCCTTTCATTACTTGTTTCTTATATTAGGGCTTTTTTTTTTCTTTTGAAATTCATTTTGTAACACTATAAGAAATACTTCCCTATTTGAAATTTAATTAAAAATAGCTTGGGATGATCTCCCAATAATTGCAGAGGACTAAAGCCTTTCTCAAAGATTGTAGGGCCCCTATAACCAGAGTGTCATGCTGTTCAACATATTCATAAGTGACCTGAAAAAAGGGGGTGAGCAATGAAACAAAAAGCTGCTGCTGTTAACCGATTCAGGTAACATAAAGAAGGGCTGACTGTGGAACTGCAGAAGGACTTATAAGACAGAGTCTGCACAATGAGACAGCAGATAAAAATCTAGTGAGATAGAGACAGTGACACAAACAGAGGAAAAAAAATCCTAATTTTGCGTATAAATGAAAGGAACTAATAACTGCCAGTAAAAGCAAGTTCTTGGGATTACAATTAGTAGCTTCTGAAAACAACTCACGCATTTGATTGTTAATAAATGCTGAGTTAAAAGAATGTTCGGAACTATTAAACAGAACACACAAATTTCAAACTCACTGTATACATTTAAGGTGCACTTTCATCTTGAATACCATGTGTAGTCCATGACCACTCTCTACAGAACTGCTAAAGAAGATTGCTATGGATGGTCAAATACCCTGAGAGGCATGTGTATAAGGAATCATCTGTTTACAAGCTAAATGACTAAAGATATGTACAAAAGTACTTGCAATTTCTAGATTTTAATTTTGCTAAAAGTTCATTTGGTTCTGTCAGATTTTCTTGATCCACTGGGTAATCTATAGATTTCAGGTAGCGGAGTAGAAAAAAGCATGAGTAAAAGTATTGTTTAGGCAGGTTCTCAAAAACATATGTCTTGAATATACTTTCTGAACACTGTTAACATTTATGTACCTATCATCATGGACCCTTGTCAGAGATTTGGTTTTGGCCATAAACTGAAATCCTAAAAAACAAACAAACAACAACAAGAAAAAAAACCCAGCTCATTCCTATTATTGTTACCAAAAGTTGTTTCCAGGACTGCAAAAAGCAATCAATAACATTTCCTTTTAATTCTTAACTATATACTTATTTGAGACTAAAGACAAATGCCAAGCAATAATTCAAATTTCTGCAAGTGCAAGGATGTGCTATAACATTCCCCCACTATAAACTCATAATAAACTTGGTGAAAATGTGGGACTTAAGATCTATTTTGGCTACTATATTTTTATATTTTCAATTATATAAGAGGAGCTCCAAACCTGTCTCTTGAAATCCTCTGGGATCCAAAAGTCAGAACTTTACAAGACTTGTTTACATACTAGGATTACATAGTCTAAACAGGAGACAAGTTACAGTGAAAAGACTATTAGAATACTACTAGCACCACTACAGTTGATGCTGGAGCACATGAATACAGGGAAGCTGGACAGTTCATATACAGGCACATATTCCAGCAATGCAGGACATAAGATCACTCTTTTCATATGAGCATATAAATTCACTCAGGATCATCAGAGAAAGCAGGAGCTTGTTTGCCCTTCAACTTCCAGTTAGACATGCTCTCCAGACATATAATTCATTACAAATTCAAGCAACAAATATATACTTTTTGTATGTTTAGTAAGAAAGTCCTGAGGGGAGCAATGATGGGAAGTGACAAACAAAAACCTACTCACAGTGATTCTAAAAGCCATCAAGATTTTCTGTTCTCCTATCTCTACTTCTACTCTTCTATCCTCTAGAGAGGATAGAGCACAAATTGACAAATACACAGTGAACCATCAATTGTGTAACAGCAAGTAGCATTTTATGATGACAACTTTCACACAAATCAAAAGCAACGCTGAGTCTGCTTTTGCTGCTAGGAAAGAGAATGACTAAACAGATAGGTTTAGGCTGTCAGGCTAAACAGATACAAAAGGCTAACTAGGTTAAACAGATATAAAAGCAGTACACAAAAAAAGCATTAAAATTTGACAGTCCTGAATTTGTGCAAGTTTTTCTCTTCATAAGCACAAATACCCTAAGCAAAATATTTCCAGCAATTATTCACATCGTCTAAGTGCCAATCTACTAAAGTCCCCTACTGTCTTTTAAATCAGGCTGTCCATACTAACCTATTTGTCAACAAGGCTCAGTTCATTACATTTGGCATCATTTTGTTTCTCTAACAGTCTCTTAGTAAAGAAAAGAAAAGGATTTCTACAAATCACAATTTTGGAAGGATCTCATCCCGACGGATCTACAGGACTATTACTTTCACATGATTTAAAATAAGTACAATATGTGTCACAAATTGCTTCCAACATATATGCAATAAACAGAATCAACAGGGAAGACTAAGGGGATGAAGATATTACAAAAACATGCTACAAATAAAATCAAACTACTAACCAGTTTAAAGAGCTTATGCTTATTCATAAGTCCTTTTCTCTCTCCAATAGTCTTTTAAATCTGTTAAGGCTACAAGCAAGCTTGTGAAGTATACGCAAAAAAAAATCCCCTTCCTGTAGAAAAAAGCATTGTGCTTGTCAACTTTGGACACTAGAAAATAATTTCAATAAATAATCTTACTGTTTCTATTATGCTATACATTGATTACTGAAGACATTATTAAATACTTCTTAGACTATCATCTTACTTCTGAAATTCCTACCAATGGAAAGGCATTCCAATACAACGAATGGCCTTTCTTAGCTCCAATCTGACCACTATATTCAAGAATGCTAGTACAGTTCAGTAATGTGAAGGAATAGCGAGCTAAAAGAAAAGCTAGGAAAATAAGGGTTTAGTGTTCCCACCCAAACAATAAAAGGAAAATGCTGAAAAGAGACACCAATAAATGGAACTACCTTTTCAGCTTGTATTTCTTTTCATCATCATCACAAGAACTTGTCACAAAATTACAGTTTTGAGATTCTGAATTATGGGGTATGTAAAGCACCAGTATAGCAAACCATAGGTGCAAGGTCTCAAATCTTGTTGTAATCCAAGACATTTCTGAAACTTTGCTCTTACAAATTCTAATAAATTCAAATGCAATGTGAACAGGAAACATACATATGGCTTGAGAGTTCAGTACAATATCAAACCTTCACAAGTTAGTGTGCCCCTAGACAGTATTGTATCTTAAAAATCTCCAGTAGATTTAATGCCTCTGAATATCAAATGAAGTGAATCATACATTCTATATTTAGTGTTCTTCAGGTGCACAACATGCTACATAAGTGATTGTCAAAATGAGCTACAGTTTCTTGTATATTTACACAGATAAATGAGCCAAACGTTCACACTCACCTAAATATGGAATAGCAGGAACTATTTTTAAGCTTCTGATGTACTCGCGTGTCCTTTTATAATTATCTTCCTTGGACAGTAAGTAGTCTAACTTCTCAAAGTTGGCCTTGTCTTTGCGATTCAGAAGCTACATAGAAAGTAAAATGAAGGAAATGATGAAAAGTTTAAGATGAAGCTGTACAAAGACAACAATAAATTCTACTTTATTGAATTTCTCACAGTAAAGGAAGGCATGCTCAAGTTAAGATTAAATTCATCCCCATCAAAAACAGAACAGTGTTTGAAGAAGTGCAGCCTGCTAAGGAAAAAATATACTTTCAGTCTAAATTTAACTTCAGGATAATTATGTTTATTACTTTATGAAGAGTCCACCTATCACTGAGTTTTGAACTATATCAGCAGTATTAAATTTTTAAAGGAAAAATGTGTATTGCTATACAGTCACGTTCTCAGAATTTACACAACTGCTAAACGTCTTTTAGAATTTTACAATTTTGAAACAAATAGCTCTGGTGACAGAATATGGAAGCATAAACACATAGCACGCAACTGTAGCTATGAAAACACATTCTCCATTCAGCTGCTTTTCAGTAATTTTTAAAGACTATTTTAAAAGATATTTGAGCCAGACTGAGTGCATGATTATGACACTGTACTCTGACTTCTTGCATTTTATGTTCTGACCACAGATAGCTGTTCCCATCACATTTCTTAAGAAACTTCTTCCTCTCTAAAATTTCATCTCTTGTCCTGCAGAGCTCATAAACTCTGCTCTTTTGTTAGTATAATCATGAATCTAAAATGCAATGCATATGCATGAGTTAATTACTTCACTCTGTTTTGTTCATAACAAGACAGACTTGACAAGAGGCATCAGTAAATTTCCACAACACTGAAACCTGCAACTCAGGAACAGCACCCCATATCACAGTTAAATAACACCTATTAAAAAACTAAGGTAATAGGTACAAGACTGAAATTATCACAGTTAATTATACTGTTTGCTTTTAAAATAGCACTGACAATTCCTTAGGTCCTAACTTTGTACTGTAGCATACATTTGGACTACTGTGTCTTCGAAAAGCCTCCACACGAGTATAACACTTGGATCAAGATCTGCTTGAAAACAAAGGTGCTTTAATAAAACATGCATGAGATCACTTTTCCTGCTATGATGGTGTAACACAAGCCATCATAGACTCTAGATTACTCTAAGTAAGAGTTCAGAAAATGTCAGAATTCAAACAACAAAACACAAGCCAACCCCAAAAGCAAACTTACAGCCCAGGTTTTTGTCAGTCTGAATATAGGTGCACTTTGCAGCGCTGATACCACTGACATAAGAGAATGGAGGTTATTCAGTTCTAGAAGCTTCTGGAGGAAAAAATAGAGAGAGAGGGGGGGGGGGGAAGGGGAGAGAGAGAGAGAATATCTTTTAGCATGGCTAAAGGGAAACAAGATTAATCTAGAATTTGTATCAATAAAATACAAAGTTTACATCCATAATTTATTTATTTTCAGGAACGATGTACCAAAATAAATTAAAATGTTAACAGTATTGTTTTGGAAGTAAAGCATTTAATCATACTAAAAAGATCAACAAAAGATGCTGATGACAGCTTCATAATTAGTATAACTTTATTATTAATCTGTTTTGCAAGGTAAACTTTCTCCTTTCATCATGCCTTAAAATAACTCTGCTGAGAAACACTCAGAACACATTGCTCTCAAAGGAGATATTATTTCAAAAGAATATTATCTCAAAATAGTATTTTGAAATAAAACTGGCTAAGTTGGTAAGTTTCTTACAATATAGGTGCAGGAAAAAAAAGGAAAAAAATAAAATAATTTTTTATTTATTTTTCAAAATTCAAAATTCTCATTATTGAATACTTTGATAATATCAACTTGTCTCTGCAGAGTGTAAATGCCAAAGAATTCCTTTATGTAGAATTCCTACTATTCATTGGCAGTAAGCAAAACTGAAATTATAGCGAACAAGGTAACATAAGTCTGTTTGCTAATAATTTGTGATTTTACTCAAAATCACAGAACTGTATTCCTAGAGCCTCACTTTCTGAATAGGAGAAGAGACCAGCATCATGGAAAAACTCATATTTCTGCAAGTGATCTTGCAGGCAACCTTCCAAACAGGAGGAAATCTTTAAATGTAAATAACATGAGTGTGATAAGTAAGTAAATGTCTAGAAATGCTTCTTTAAAAAGGAATGATACATCAAATATTCAGTCATCTCCTTGAGCAATAGAGTTACTCCATACTCAGGAGTGCTCCGAGCTCATGCTCCTGAGGACTTCCACTCTTCAGGAAGCACTTTAGGTACGTTTTTTTTCTGCATAAAACTTCTACATGAACTACTGGAACATGTTTGCTGTATGTAAACAAACTGTTTGTATTGCATGGAAAATACTGCTCTAACTATTTTTGCACATTCTGCACTAATATTCATTTCCCAGACTAGATAACATGAGCTGTCTGGAAAGTTAAAAAAAATACAGCACACACACTGACCCACTATGACACAGGTACAAGATTAGCACTCAGGTCTTTGATCTAAGTGCCATCTTCTTGGTACATTTCAAAGATGCTCTCACACAACAAAAAGACCGTAGGTCTTGAAACAGGCAAGTATCTTTCCTACAAACAGCATCCATAGTGATAAATCAGTTGTTCCAGATTCCTCCTTGAAACATCAATAATATTTTAGAGAACAATATGCAGTCCTGTGATACAGATTTGATACAAGAAATTATTAAAAACATTGAAATCAAGCAACATTCACTGAATTACTGCAGAAAATGGAATAAATATTTTGAAAGTGTTAAAAGTGACTTTAAAAAAGCAATGCTCAAGTTCATTAAGTTTGAGCAGTGGTAATTTATATCAACAATTATTTGATATTTCACAATATTTGTTTCAGAAGCAAAAACAAATCAGAAATTTCTTTTATAAAATGATATGGGGGAACAAAACAAAAGGGTTTACAACTATTTTCAGTGTTGGCAAAAATACCCGCATTTATCAGTTATATTGTTTTTATTTGTATGCAGTTCAGAAAGCGGCCAGCAACAAAACAAGTGATTTTTTAACCTTGTAAAGGTTGTGTAAGAACTAGAGCAGTGATCAGTTACACTGAACTAAATATTTTCATTTAGCTAAGTGAAAACAATAGATGGCGTTCCTTTGTCTTAGCCACGTGGTACAACACAGCAGATGTGCTAAAAAAGAATGCTACCCTCTGTAATCCAGTAACAGTTGATAGTAGTGCAGAAACAAACAGAAAGGAAGTAAGATTTTGCATAACAATATAACAAATATGCACTTACTTTAGCTATTTTCACAAAATGGCTCAATATTTCTGCCCTTATTTTTAAGGTCTGTGCTGTTAAAATTTCTCGTACAACCCAAAAACTGACCTATAAAGTAAACATATGAATTTAGTTACAGAAAAAAGACTTTATTAAAAATTTGTACACTTTCATGATGTTCCACAGAAAACATAAGGCAGGAAAAGAGAGCAAACGGCATCTCATGAATTCTCATCTCTATAGAAGTAATCACGCCAAATCAGTACCACTGGACTTAACCAGGAAGAAAAGTGGTACAGCACTATGGTAACCAAAGGAATAGGAGGAACACAGAACAAGAAAGGGAAGAAAAGCTCATGTAGTACCATGACACACCAGCAAAGAGCATCAAGAACTCTAGAGTGTAGCAGAAAAAGAGAGAAAGAAAAAGTGGACAAAAATTTGAAAGAGGAATTGTCATTTAAAAATCTTAATCCTCATTAGTAAAATATTTAAATGGATTCCTAAGCTTTAATGCTTAAGAGCAGTTCTGTTTAACTTTTTACACAAAGACAAGCAGTACCTGTTCATCACATGTATTTACCTGGTTAAACCTCCTGGTAAAGGCAACAATATTTGGAGCAAGGACATGTTTCTCTTTCTTATTCCATCCACAGCTGGCTAGTTCCTAGCAAAAYATAAAGATCATGTTAAACATCAGTAATGTTTAAAAACATTAAAAAGTGTAGAAATTGATATGCAAGCAAAACACTTACCAGATCTTCTAAAACCAAACCCAAGGCACTTGTTCCATGATAACTAGTCTAACTCAAGAGTTCCTTAACATATTTCATGTTAAGGAGGGCTAATGAGTAACAACTGAAAATCCTGCACATGTTAAATTAATTTTACTAAGTTTAAAATTTGGACTAAATAGAAAAGTTCTTGATATGAGCAAGTGATCCAACATTCTCTTGCTGAACTCCCCTACCCTTCAAACCCCCTCTCCCAACTCGTGAAATGTATTATTCCCATTATCAAACTTTATCTTGTGGTATGAAAGGATGTAGATAACTTCTTTAATGTACACAGTTACAACTGTCATGCAACAAATATACAGAGAATGCCATTTCTAGGATGCTAAAAAAATATCTCTAAATAAAGCTAAATAGAAACCTACAATGTTAGTGTAGTTATTTCTATTGGATTACAAGAAACTGTTAGGAGTTCTCTTACTGAGTTGTTATAAAGTAGCAGCCAAACCCATTTTTTTAATAGTATCTCAATAGAAAAACAAACAAACAGCCTCAGCAAGTGCTAGGTTTAAAGGATATTAAAGGATATTTGTGCATTTAACAATCTGAACTCTAACAGAAATTTGTGCATGGATTAATATTTTTAAAGACATTTAAACTTGAAGAAAACGACATAACATCCTCCCAAATATCAAATTCAACAGTAGGTAACTCATTAAAGCTCCTCACTCCAGTAGCTGAAAACTCAGAACTGCTGCTGTGTGAAGTTCTCCTGCTGAACTAAGCAAGTTGTCTAAATCACAACAGAACACTTCAACTTCTCCATGCTTTTTTCATTTCCTCTTTCTGGCAGAGGAAAAAAAGTGCAATTCCCTTCTTTTTTCCGTACGTCAGTATATGTACCACTACCTACTGAATTCAAAGGAAGCTTGTTCTGCAAAACAGTTCTGACCACCTTGCACAAACAAACACCAAAGAAAGCATTGTGTTCTTACTGGCAGAATTAAAATACGACGGCAGCAGTACCTGAACAGCTCTGCTACATTTTCTCTTGTCCTCAGAGTAGCACTTAATATTAATCATAACATCACTGAAAAGGCTATTACAAGAAAAGTTTCTTCCTAGCAAGGGCTCTTAATAATGGGAGGAAATAACATATATTAATTACATGAAATACTTGGCAAACAACTTATATTTCCATTTGGTTTTCCTCACACACACTGAAATCCAAAAATTTTAAGAGATATTTTAAGGAAACCTACCTCAGGCTGTATAGCTTTAAATACTGGCATATCCATAAGAGTAATCTGGCTCTGAAATAAAGAAAATATTTTAAATAATGCAATACAAGGAGACAGCAAGCATTTATGTCTGCCTTGTGTGGCCCTTCAGATTTGTTCAGTCTAGAATAAGGCCTCTCATTTTTAGGCAGACATACCACAAGCAGAACTCCACCATTCCGAGTGTCAGCATGTCCCTACTTTCTTTTACTACTATTTGCTACACCGATGTGAAGACCTTTAAGACTACTGTAAGAAGTAAATCAGTCCTATAGTTTACCTTTAGCATCACAGTGATAAGGTACTTGCATTGCTTTTGTGACTCTAATGATGCTACATATTTAGAATTAACATAAATTATGCTTAACCCTAACCTCAATTATACTGCAAGTATAATCCTAGTGAACTTATTGTGCCATTCAAATGATGTGATATGTAGAAGAACATGTTCAAATAATGCTTCTTTAGATCTTTCCCCAGGAAACCTTAGAGACCTTAGAAAACCTTGTTTTCTTTTGATAAACTCTGAAAAGCAAAAGCTTGTTAACCATCTGTTACAGTGCTCCTTTGATTCTGTCAATTAAAGAATGGTAACTTTCCATTTGAAGATTTTGTTTTTAAGTTTCTATTATTAGGATTAATGATCAGACACAAAGCAAGTGTTAATAAGTCCCAGAAAATGACTTAAAATTTTTAAGTAATCTTACAACTTAATCATTTTATAAAATGGTACTGAAATTTCCACTCATCTGTGGAAAAGGGAGTTAAAAATACTCATCATAAAAACTTACTCAAAAGTCATAAAATTACAGTAATACTATAGTATTCACTTTTTTTGTGAATACTACTACTGAATATGAAACCAAACAAAAGGAACACTATTTAGATGTCCAGAATATTAATGAAAACATTGAATTAGCTTAATTAGCTTGTAATCCCAATTCTGTTCTGCCTCCTAACAAGTAAATGTGAAAATGTAAGTTACAAACAAAGTGGCAAGTACATGGGAACTATATTTGACATTTGGCAATGCAACAGCTTTGCTTTCATTTTGGTAATGACACTTTGTTATTAGGGAATAAAAGTTCTCATCTCTACAAGTAGTTTCTCTCCAGTATATAAGAAACTGATGTTTCCAAGAAAGTAATGTTTCAGCAGGAAGGCAGAGTATTTGAGGTTTCAATTAAAATAAAAATAAGTCTATGGATACTGAACATTATTCTTAAATGTATGTTAGGGTTTTCTAAAACACTGGAAAAAAATAGCTTTAAGTGGCGGAAAAGAAACCTCAATATGCTAAGTCAGTTGAGTACTGAATAAATTCTGAAGACATGTTTACATTACTGAAGTTTATACAAACATAAATTTGCTTTTGAGAACACTGGAAGTTTGTTTAAAATATTTTGTTTAAAGAAAAAGGTTTTATGCTATTTTTATATCCTCAGAGCCCCAAATATTACACAAATGTAAATACAAAAATAACATTTCTACTTACAGCAAACTCCTCAGGAGTTACTTTCAATACATCAAATACAACTGCATCGTAGCTTTTGTTGGCATAATCCGAGCTCCTCCCTTCCAAAGAATCTGAGCTGCTACTACCCTACAAAGAAAAGAATCATAGGCTTATATGCAGAGTAGTGAATTTCACGTCAAATTTTTTAAAAACTTTTTTATTTATGAGTAAAAATGAGTACAATTTTTTTCATTAGCAATGAACAGCTGCTTTATTTTCAAAAGTTTTAGTTATAAAATGTTAGGAAATACTATTTAAAATAAAACTAAATCAGTAATATTCAAGAAAAAAAAAGGAGTAAGTCATGAACGCTCTGAACCACCATTTTCTGAATGTGCTTTGTTGTCAAATACATTGTTTGGAAGAAACATGTCTGACGAGAGAGTGGAAAGGATTTCTCGAACAGTCAAAGCAAGCTGGACAAGAACCAACAAAACAAAACCAGTGAACTGTACCTCTGGAGTGGCAGAGGTGATCATCACATTGGCCATGAGGTCATTCCTTTTATACATGCTCTCCCTAAGAAGCAGGAAGCTTCAGCTCTGCCAGCACTGGTGAGACAACATGATGAAAACAGATTTCCTGTAAAATAGATATATGTATGCTTACAGTATCAACTGTAAAGGAGTACTAGCGACAATCACTAAAGCCATGGTCTCGTCCTTATCCCCACTTCCGTTATGCCTACAAATGCAAAAAAAATATATATAATATATATTATGTTGCTTGTCATTTATGTTCAACTAGTTTTATATGAAGTCCATGACAGAGAGCATTTATATAGCTAGACATCTTTAAAACAGGAAATCTAAGCTATAAACTGAACAAAGAAATTCTGTTTCCTCCCACTTTCCTGCTCATTGTTTAAATTAGTTTCATATTGACAACTGAAGTCTTATTGTGCCTTCTTAATGCACAAATTCTATTTGCAGATGCGTAGGTCTCCACTAATACCCATACAGATAGCTGTTTTTAAAAGCATCTTATATCATGCTTCAAAGAATAGAAGTTCTCCAGAAAAGAAAAGCTGCGAGTATCACCATCCCTAATTGCAAAGATCAGTCTCTAGGACCTCTACTAATCCATCAACAGTATGGACTGAAGTGAGACTTATTCCAGACTGGTTTAGGCAGATGTATTTGGTTCCAAATTGGCACAGAAAGTCACATATGTAATATACCACCTCTAGCTTCCTCAAGAAATGAAGACTGGAGTGCAAAAAACAAACAAACAAAAAGAGTATGTGGTATCACAAAGAACCTAACATCTTGAATGGACAATCTGTTCCAGTTGAAGCTTCTGTTGAGATGAAAAGTGTGTAATGAAAGCTAAAGCATAACAATTCAGAAATAACAAAAATGCTGATGACAATAATAATACTCATAGATTAAAGAATGATAAGGTTCTCAAAGGAAATCTTCTTGGATATATGGAGGTTGGGCTGGATGATCTCTAGAGGTCCCTTCCAATTCTGTGATTCTGTAATATGTCAGTTGTATGTTAAAGATATGCATCATGTGAACGTATGCAAACATATAATATCATGGATCCAAATCAGTTGCGTCTCATTCAGGCAAATATAATTTGTATGTGAGAAGGCATCACAGGTCTAACTACCACTAACGTGGTAACAACTGACATGAATATAGATTTGAATTCAGACAGCACAGGTCTTCATAAAATTATACCCACATTTTATTTATCCACTGTCACTTATCCAATGACAACAACAGAAAACTCCAGGAAAAACCATTCCTTTTCATCAACATTTTATGTAAGGGAAAATTTAAGGGAATCCTAAGCAATTTTATTTTCAAATCTACGCAGCAAAGAAAAACACAATTTGGCTACAAGATTACTTAATTTAGAAAATCCTTCATATCACTCAGAGAAATTTCAGTAACGGTGGACATTTCAGATGCAATCTCTGATTACTGGTGTATCTAATATGCATTATAATCAATTCAGTTTTTCTAATGAAGGGGCTAATAGGAACAAACATTCTTTTTATTTGTCTGAAATGAAATAAAATCAGAATTCAAAATCTATTCTCAAACTTAATTACTTAATTTCACATATCTATCTATTTATATCTATAGTGTTCAGTACATTCTGCACATGTCCATACTGACTGCTACTTTAATGAGCTAACTCTGCTATTTCATTAATGGTCCAATGACAATTGGTACAACATCACAGTACCTGCCAAATTTCTTGTCATATTGTTCAATATAACACATATGGCCTTGGCATTATCCTACCACTGGAAACTTTGTTATTTAATAAAACAATGACATAATTAAAATTCACATTCCTTGCATCATGAATCAGAATTTATACATTCTCAAAGCTAAAACTATTCATGCTTTATAAACAGTCTTACAGGACTACATCAAAAGATTCTCAGAAGATAATGAGACAGTTGCTTAAGTGGACAGTAGGATAGCAATGGATATTGAAATCATCATGTTCAGCACAACCTATCCTTTTCAGAGAAGGCCTTAGCAGAGGACTTCCCTCTCAGTTTGTCATGTAATTGATGTTTTGCAAGAATTTAATCTGAAAATCCAATAGACATCTAAGTAAAAGCTTGTTTAGACAAGTATAAAAGCTAAAGCAATCCAGATTCTCAGGACTGTGCAGAAAGGAATGCTCAAACTAAACTAAACATCTGTCTCATCAAAAGGTCATTTGACTTTTAAGCTCTCTAGAAAAGGATCAACTTCTTTATTTCTGCTGTTGGTACTATCCTTTTAAGGTCAGAAATAACAAACATAGCAAAACTTGGGTCAAAAATTGCTCAACATTCAAGTATCTGCAAAATAGAAGAGGAAAAAAAGTAACCCAAATTAAATTATCAGTATTATGCCAAAAGGCAAAAGAAGAAATTATCAGAATATTTCTAATTACTATTACTTACTAAACCCAAATAGGTTATTAGGAACAGGTTAACATACATTGTGTAGTCCTGTTTCACTGTGCAAAGAATCTGAAGTGCTGCAGACACTCTACACCCTTTCTATACGGTGTTAACAGTTAGCAAAATTATTTAGATATGGTGTGCACATACATACTAATAGTGGAAGCGTGCAAGTAGGCAAGCATGCAAACACACAAAGTACAGGAAGTGCTCACAGCATTGACAGTGCCACATCTCCATTTGCATCCTCAATCTTAACTGTAAAGCCTAGATCACACAAATAGGAAAACACTGAAAGAGCAAGCAGCAGCTGAGAATAAAAGCAACCTCTGATTTTACTCCTTGAGGCAGGCTAGTCCCTATCTATCATGCTATGAGGCACTACAGGACAAAAATCAATTTGTCCCACACGATTTTATGGACATGCATAAGATGGGTCAGTAACTGTATTTTGAATAATGCCAGGTTCTCCTCATAGAAACTTGCCAAAAAGCAATTTCCTTTATCTTGCTTCCTGATAAAATAAACTTTTGTAGGTTATACACTAGCAGACAGCACAGTATTTCTAAGTCTGGAATTGCTTGTATTAATAGTCCTTAGAGATACTGAAGTGGAAAGCAATTTTCATGATGTAATTTCTTTAAAATGTGGCATTTATATCAGGACCATGAAAATATTCCCCCATCTCCTCCTTCTCTGCTTTCCTGACTAGGCTTTCCAGTGTGCGGGGGCTCAAAAATGCTCTGAAAGGGGAAAGAAAAATCCCATATGTGATGTTGCATCCTGTCCAAGACAATTTTTACTCCTGGCTTTAACATTCAGTAAACCAAAGAGAGACAGAGATTCTCCAGCATCAGAAAACAGAAGTACTAATATACTTTTCAACTACAACATTCAGCTTTTAAGAATTGCAAGGTTAGGAATCAGGTCTAAAAATAAATATTTTTTTTCCTCCAAATACTTCAAATAAGCATGTAAAACGCACTGCTTATTCATATGGGCACAGGTTTTACGAAGATTCACCTCAATTTATCTACGTTTATCTGCACATCCACTTGAGGAAAGCCATGGTGAACAATTGTCTTTTTCAGACAAAAGTGGAGTTTTATTCTTGTGAGGACCTGTAAATGTCATTTATTTCCACACCTGTTACCACAAGAGGTATTATCCTGCAAAATAAATAGCACTGGAACTACTACTAGACATATTGTAATAAAAAACAGCTGGGTTATGCATAAAAAGGTATCAAAAGCAACTAATATTAAAAACTACTTTCCAATATTTGCAGCAGCAATCTCTGATAGCAGCAATGCCAATTTAAACAACTTTAGCAATAAGCATATAAGGACCATGAGTTCAGTCTCCGTCAGGAAACATCTGGTCAGAAAATTTTCTTTATCTACCCACTGACTGTAACCTTTTAGAGAAGCAGCTACCAAGTGCTTCAGGAACCCTGGCTTACTTAGAGAGAAGGTAATGTTAAGAAGGTAAGGTTTGATGCATAAACCTCAGAACCATTAAGTAACACTGGTGTAAAACCATTTTATTCCTGACCAGCACTACTCCATCAGACAGGTTTAGTACATGGCATGCACATGTAAAACGTACAAAAATGTGTGCACATGTTACCTAATGAGTTACCTAAACAGTCACAATGCTTTGTATGAGAAAAATGCTTGCCGTTTTGAAATAATTTAACAGAAAACAAAAACCTCTGTTTGTACAACACAGGAAATCCTAGAATATTTAAAATCCCGATTGCAAATAATTAATGTCTACTCAGTCTAGTAAGAAACAAAATAATTACATTATATAAGATTAAAAAGCCTTTGCCTTTACATGCCTAAAGATCCTCATAAGCAGTGGTTGTCCTGTGCACATATTTTTAAGATCAGTTTCACTAGAAAGTCTCTAATATGTTTCATGATGCTTTAGGCAACAGTACCACCTACAGATGAAACATGCTATGAACAAGTAGCTTAGTAGTAGTTTCATGCACATACTACTCTGAGAAACTTCTTACTATAATTAATGATGAGTAACATCAATAATGGAAGTAACACCCTGCATATAAAAACTCAACTAGGCTGTGACAAGATGTAGTGAAGTTACATATTTTGAGAGGAAAGAGCAATAGCACTCCAACATTCAGTGCAGCAATTTATCTCAGACACTGTTTTACTATCAGCATGAATACAAAAATTGAGCCCAGTTAACAAAACGTGTCCCAGATTTAGGATCACAAGATCTGTCAATCATCAATGAATCAACACAGAATTACAACACAATGAATCAACACTTCTAAGGATCTGAGGAGTACTTATTAGTTTGCCTACTGTGTTAACTGATCACAATCTCAAACTGCTGAACTAAGTGAAATATTCATCACTAACATATATTTATCCTAGGCCAAAAGGCATCTCCCAATGTTGCCAAAGAATCAAAATCTAATTCACAACATTAATCAAACAAAGCTCTATCCTCTCCAAATTGGCTTTCAGCTATAGTAGCAGGTACATAATAGAAGTTGCTTTCAGGACAGCAGCAGATATGGGAAAAGTAGGCTGCTCTCTTCCCCAAATCCATGAAGTGTGCAGGTGCATGTGCGTGTGTGTGTTTGTGTAAGGAAGGAAAAAATGGCACAAGAGAGCCATGCTTTGGACCCTGATGAGGTTAAAAAAAACAATCAAGTTTCAAGATTTTGATTAAAGAAATCCTTTAACATCTTTATTTTGTATTAAGTTTGAAAATAAGATATTGGTGTCAGATACACAATAAAATGAAAATTAATGCAAAATAGATATAATACAGAAAAAGATGTTTCAAAACATTAGCAGGTGCAGGATCCTGATATCAAAGCTGAGAATTCAGCTAGCTAAGATGCTTCCTAGATCATCAGACTACCAGTTGCTCCCACTTTCTCCAATTTTGACAATAACCCTGGCATAGAAATCTGGTTTAAAGTCTGGTTGAAAGTTAAGAACAATAAACATAAGAACAAGTATTGCTTTTTAACAGAGACTGAAAAACAAACATCAAGTTAAGAGCCCCCATACAACCTTGATCCCTATCAAAACAAATCAGTTGTTCTCTCTCCAGTAGTTCTCTTTCAAAAGCAATTAATTCTTAGAACAAGTTTGAGGACTACCTGGGGTTTGAAGGCATATGTTTGAGGGAATTAAAACTTACGAAGCTTCAAGTGTTATACTCTAGGGTAGTCTCAATAAAACATTCACAGAAAAAAAAAATCTATGCACAGTATTACAACGTAATATTGTCAAACCATCACAATTCTAGGCCCCTCAAAAAGAAGGGAACTAACAGACACTTCTGTAATTTTCGGTATCAAATATAAATGAAAAAAAAAAAAAAAGATACCTGCTACTTTAAGTAGGTACTGTTGCATACTTACAGTGGCATAAGGTTATTCTGCCTGTACTCAACCCATTTTGCTTCACCAATTTGCCATTGGGTCTACCTCTGGCTGTTGAGGTTTATCTCTTGCTTAAAAGCATGACATGTCTGTAAATTAATAAGAAACAGAATTATGGTGATATTTATAATATAACCCAGTTCTTTCAAAACTGTGCATTCCTCACCTGAAATACGCACTTTTTTTTTCAATCAGGTGCTCCCCAGCAGTGAAATTTTTCACACATGTATGCCTGTGTGTGTGTTTACAAGGGCTCATTTTATTACTGATTTTAACTGCCTAAATACAAGCTACATTTTATTACTGATTTTAACTGCCTAAATACAAGATACAGAGAAGATGCATCTTCTCCAAGGTGAGCAGTGAAAGGACAATGAGCAACAGATATTGCCTCAGCAAGGGAAAAATCAAATAATGAATAAGCAAAAATAATCAAAATGAGAATGCTTAGATATTGGAACAAGCCACACAGAAGTGTTACAGAATCTCAGAGCTCAGATGATAGACAAAACTCAACAAGTCCTCAAGGAACCTGCTCTGAATTGACGCTGCTATGAGCGGGGATTTGGAGGCAATGACCTTCAGAGGCTCCTCCCAAACAACATTTTTATATGAATCAAGCAATTTCTTATACTAAAAGATTCACATTTTTCTCACATGCTATCATTTCACTCCAGAATTAGATTCTGTCAATAAACATACATTCACGTTCCACATTCCATCCTCAACGTTTTAGCTGTCTTGGATTCATAATACATATGTTTTGCATAGCTGTGGCTTCACTGCTATACCTAACCTGCTATTCACAGCACTTTACCTTAGGAAATTGCTTAGTCTGACTTTATATTTTAATGTCTCTATAACTTCACTAAATTAAAGGAAGATTTTTCCTGAAATAGAAAGGAGATCAGGAACTTTTTTTTTCCTTTCTTTCTGTCTTTTTTTTTTCTTTTTTTCTCCACAAATGCATCCAAATGTTTTATTCCAGATTTTCTGGCTTCCATTAAGAAGAGTGTCTCCAGCAGGTCGAGGGAAGTGATCATCCCCCTCTACTCAGCCCTGGTGAGGCCACATCTGGAGTACTGCGTCCAGTTCTGGGCTCCCCAGTACAAGAGGGATGTGGAGCTGCTGGAGAGAGTCCAGCGCAGGGCTACCAGGATGATCAGGGGCCTGGCACATCTGCCCGATGAGCAAAGGCTGAGAGAGCTGGGTCTGTTCAGCCTGGAGAAGAGGAGGCTGAGGGGGGACCTGATCAGCGTGTATAAATACCTCAAGGGAGGCAGTGAGGAGGAGGGGGGGTGGCCTCTTTTCAGTGGTGGGCAGGGATAGGACTAGAGGAAATGGCTTCAAACTGAAGCATCGGAAGTTCCACAGGAACTTAAGAAAGCATTTCTTCACTGTGAGGGTGACAAAGCACTGGAACAGGCTGCCCAGAGAGGTTGCGGAGTCTCCTTCTTTGGAGATCTTTAAAACTCGCTTGGATGCAGCCCTGTGCCACATGCTCTAGGTGACCCTGCATGTGCAGGGGAGTTGGACTCGATGACCTCTGAGGTCCCTTCCAACCTTTGGCATTCTATGATTCTATGATTCTACGATTTCATTTATTTGTATTCTGAACACAACAGTAGCTGTATCAAGAGGTGCCAATAATCTATGCAGCTCAGCTTCCCAACTCCACAACAGCTCATAGGCAGAATATAAAGAAAATCAGAAGAACTGGGAAAGCATGTAGCGTTGCTTCCCCAAAGTATGATTCCAATCTATCATGACTTGCAGTTCAGAGAATTCCTCAAAGATGAAATCTTTGCACTTCAAAAAACATGGAAAAAATCTCTCTTACTAATTTACCCAGTTGATTCCCTTATGAATCTAACCAGACGCTGCTCAAATCTACATCATCCTGGAGCACCCACAACATCCTCTGATGAGGAGTTCTGCAGCTTAAACTGTGAATTTTACCAAATAACTCTCCTCTTGAAGGTGTCTTCTGTTATGCTCTCTAGTTCTTGTATCAAAGAAAAAAAAAGACAATTAAAAAACAACTTTTCCCATTCATCTTCTCAATTGATATTGTTATAAAGACACCACACTCTCCCTCAACAGATTATGGCAGTTTACTGTTCAGTCCTCATTGAGCAACCACACCCTTGTTTTTATACTCATCACCTTTCTCCATAGCTTTTTAAATTTTGTAATACCCTTGGAAGGTAGGTATAGAAGGACTACACACATTTCTTAAGATATGCACCCACTATGTATTGTTCTCTAGTGTTTACAAAAAGAGAGAGGGGAGAGAGGGGAGGGACGAAGAGAGGGGAGAGAAGAGAGGGAGGAAGGGGAGAGAAGAGAGGGAGAGAAAAAAAAAAAAGAAAAAAAAAAGAAAAAAAAGCACTCCAAGACTTCCTTTTCTGACCACTCTGAGCTGATGTTCTCACTGACTCTCTTTTGCTAACCACTTGAAGATGACGGCAGCAAACCTTTCTCTCCTGTGTTCAAGACCCTTCTTCATCCTCCACTCAATCACTTAAGCTGACCTTGCTATTTAAGTCTCTAATCACCCATTCTTAAAATATTTTTACTGCTCATTTTGGAGCACTCAAAGCTTTTACCTTCCTTTTTTAAAACAAAGGTTTCAAAATTGTGCATTATGGCCTGGTATCATTTTCACCTACACTTTACAAAACTTTAAATCTCTTTCCTAATCCTATTCGCTACTTTGTTGCCTACATGTTCAAAGATAGCACTTTTTTGCTGCAACATTGTCTTGAGAGTTCATGCTGAGTTGCTTACTTATTTTGACTACATCAATTGCAAAAAGAGGGCTCTCCAAGATGCACTCTCCTGTACATTAAAAGGAGCTGGTAGTCTCTCTTCCTCCACATAAACACTTCTGTTCGGCCTTAACACAAAATTCATTCAAATGAAAGAATAGCATACCAAGCAGTCTTCTTCACTCTGTTCACCACTTTAATAAGTTATACCATTTGCAAACAACAGCAAATACAGTCATATATGAACTGCCAGATCCCTGTTTTTGCACACTAGCTGACTTCTTGCAACTCCCTGCAGATATACTCTTAATAAGAATTCTTCAATTAGCCACTGGTAGAGATATATCTGATACAGTAATTAAACTATGTATTGTGTTTGTTATTGAAAGGATAATGCATTTTTTTCAGCTGCAATATCACAGTAATAGAGTGTTTGATTAAGAATATCTATAGCTATCATGTTACTTTAGTCAATTCTTACAAACACACTCAAGAACAATTTTAGGTTTGGTTGATGAAACTAATCTTTCACAGAATCATAGAGCCTTACCACAAAACAATTCTGTGTTTAAATATTTTGTGAAATTTATGAAACTAATCTCATATCATTTTCCCTATTATTTTATTCAGACAATGATAATCAATGTTAAGGAATAAGCTTGATGATGCATTTGCCTTTTACTAGGACTACGAGCACTCTTCCAGACTTCAGCATCTGGACTAGCAGCCAAGAAAACTTATATTCAGTAGTTTTAAAAGAAATCTATAATTTCATTCTTAGGCTTTAAAATAAAATGTATATAGATTGCTGCTTTTTATTTATTTATTTATATTTATTCTAAATGTTGTTTGTACTTTGCTGGTCAAATAACATAGGAATCAAAGATACAATTGGTGAACTGGATGATCTTTCCACTTTTTCTTTCCAGTCTGTTTGGGCTAATCTCCCAAGCTTTATGAAAACAAACAAACAAAAAAAAAGTGAACAAAGATTTTAGACAGAGAAGTGTAGTTAAAATTGAATTAAAATTGAAGTACAGTAACAGAATCACATTTTCTGATTAGGAAAAAAATAAAGCTTTTCTTGACAATAATAAATATGGTTAAAAGGCATTTACAAAATTTGCATAGAAGATGAATGAAAAGAACTTCCATTTCCTAAAGTTCTCATTGCTAATGCTTCTAAGTACACTACCACTTAATAACACAGGGTTTCATTTGGAAGAGTGCTATAGATGTTGAAATAAAGTTTAAATGGAACAAAAGAGCATAACACCTGCTTGTCCTGATTTCTAGATGTCTCTTACATAAAAAAAAAAAAAAAAANAAAAAAAAAAAAAAAAAAAAAAAAAAAGGTTGAAATAAGAGTTTTACATCAGCAAATGGGTTTGCTATTCTATTCTACAGAATGAAAGTGATCCAGAGGATGAACACAGCACAGTTCTGTCATCACATATTCTTTCCAACCTTTTTAACACGCAAAGAACAACTGCTAGTCACAGCACGATCGTTCAACTTTAAAAGAGGTCTTAAATAAAGAAGATCGTCCTAACAAGAGTTTGCTACATGCATCCATAAAGTGCTTTCGGGCAAGGACTACGACTCTCCACGTGAAGGGGGCCGGCTCTGATTTAAAGCTATTTCAAGCACAGACAGGACAGCAGCTCCGCTGGGTTCGGAGCGCCAGGCAAGATAATAAACCACATCCTATGGGCTCCCCGCGCCTCCCGGTTGGCAACTTCGGCGGCAGCTCTGGCTGCTCCGCACCCAGCCGCGGCCCAGCCCTGCGGCTCCTTCGCCAGCGCTTCGAGATCCATCTCCCCGTCGCTCCTCTCCTCCACCGCCCCTTTCCCTCACAGCCTCGGCGCGCGGCGCCGCCGGGCGGGGCGCCGTCCCCTCGCCTCACCTCAGCCTCCTCCGCGGCGCCCCGCCCGCCGAGCACCTGCGCGCGGGCCTCGCGGGGGCCGCCGTCCCCCCCTCCCCCCCGCCCGCCAGGGAAACCGGCTGCGCCCGCCGCTCCTCGCCGAGGACGGGGTCGGGGCGTCTGGCATGCCCGGGGGCTGTCGGTCGGGCCCGGCCGCAGGCCCCGCCCGAGCGGGCACCTTTGCCGAAGGGCCGCGGGACGGCCCGGCCGCACTCACCTGTCCCCGCGAGCGAAGGCTCCAATGGCGCTTACCTGTCAGGAGCAGCCGCCCGGCGCCACCGCCCCGCGGTCGTGGGACCGCTCGGCGGGGGGGCGCCCTCCGCGCCGCCGCCTGCCGGACCAAACCCCCCACCCGCGTCGCCGCCGCCGAGGCCCAGGCTGGCCAAGCGGGAAGGCGGGGCGGGCGCGAGCTACACCGGAGTGGCAGTCGCCCCAGCCAATTGTTGCTCCGTCTCGGAGTATCCACCAATCGCTGGGGGAGGGGGCGGGAGCATGCAGATAAAGAGCCAGTGCGCAGGAGCTGCCGCCGCGGCGTCCGCCTGCAGGTGTGAGCGGGGCCTCAGCGCCTCCGTCCCAACCCCAGGCGGGAGCGCGGCGGGCGGGCGCGCGCGCGCGCGCGCGCGCGCGCTTGAGAGGGCCTGCACGGAGCTTCGGGAGCTTTGCGCGCCGCTCTGGGAAGAACTGCAGAGCCCTGCGCACCCGCGCAGTACGTGGCAGGTGTTTTCCCCGCATCTTTTCCCCGGAATTGCTGGAGAAATGCAATCGCGTTACCTGTGGATATAAGCGCGTTCCAGGCATTCAGCGAGGCAGAGGCTGCAGTTAAAGACCAGACTGTTCCGTAGAGGCGAGGACTCGCCGCCCCGCAGCAGCCCGTCCTGCCCCGCTTCTCGCCGGCATTTCTGGCTACGCTCGACGGCGCCGATGACCCCGCGCTGCTCCGGGCGCCCTGCGCGGGGCGCCCTTCGGGAGAACAGCCGCCCCCGCCCCGCGCGGCGCGGGGTTCGCGCGCGGCCCAGCCCGAGCACGCCCCGCAGCCCCGGGTGCCCGAGCGCCGGCGGCGGCAGCGCCGCGAGCGCGGCTGGGCTGGCGCTGGCCCCGCTTCCCGCGCGGGGCGCCACCGCAGCTTGAATCAGTTGTCAAGTCAGCCAGCACCCCCTCGTGGTGCAAGGACCAAAAGTGGCCTTGAATCGATTTACGATTTTTGTTTCAGGTAGGCGCATTGCATGGAGAAATAGTCTGATTTAAAAAAAAAAAACAAACCTTGAGCCTTAGAATTTTCCCCAAATTTATTAAACCGTTTCCATCTATTCTGCCAATGTATCGAACACTCAATTGAAATATTTCCTAAATCCATTCACAGTAAATTGGAATATCTTATTTGATATACGTAATGAAGTGTTTGTGGGATCAGATTCCATTTTTTTTCCCAATATAATTACTGCAAGAAAATAAACTCTACAATGTGTCCTGCTCTTTGACTGCTCTAGTTTGTCGTCAAGCTGTTTCAGGTTTACACTAATTAAAAAAAAATATAGTGGAGGGTATTAGCAGGTACACCCCGGACAGCTGAGCAAACTTTCTCATTAGCTCTCTTAAATGGTCCTTTACATAACCTTTGCATTTGACTCCCAGGGAGCTGAAAGGGGTGACTTGCAGTACTGCTTCTACATGTGGCAATCTAGGACCCGTGCTGAATTCAGATTGGCCCTAGCCTGGAGGAGAAAAGATGCACATTGCAGAGCGTTTTACATACCAAATCATTACAAGTGCATCAAATAAAATGAACAGTGGCTTTGGGCAAAGAAGTACAAATTGACATTGTAATTATGAGTAGTATGTTCCAGAATTAGTATTTCATTCAGTGCAACACAAAGCTTTCCATCTTCTAAGGGGTTTTGACAGCATCTCTCATCTGTCAAAATGTTTAGTGCTAATTTAAAATATACTCTTTCTCTGCTGTATATCTCATTCCCACTTAAGACTTTGTATGGAAATGGCCATATCTTTCCTTTTGCTGACTCTACCACAGTACAGTAGCTTCCAGGACCTTGCTGATCATACACAGCAGTTCTGGGCAGCCTCCTGTAGGCCTTTACACTGGAAGGACATTGATACCCACTAGCCAGTCAGAGCTCCGAAACAGTGGACACAGTTTACAATACAATTCTACTAAAATTTAGAGGCAGGATTTAAGGAAACAAGAAATGCTATAATAAAAGTAGGAGAAATGAACCAAAATCAGTTCTGGTAACACCAGGCCTGAACTGCTTATCTCAGACCTAGAAGTCTTGTTTGCTGTTAAAATGATGAAACATTAAGTAGTTGTGGTAACCATAACTTTCTTTTATGGATTTCTCTGACAACTTCACCAAATTAGCACTTTTAAAATAAGTTGTTTTTATTTGTACAACCTAGTTCTTTTATTGGATAGCGGTGCTAAAATAGCTTGAATTTTTTTCCAAGTTATTAGGGACAAACTAAAACAAGCAGAGTTGAATTTTAAACATGCATACTGTACTATGGCACTGTAGTTATTGCCATGGATTGCAACTTTAAACAAACCTGATCTGTCCAAGGTCAGTGGTGTATCCCTGCATAGAACTAGTTGAGGTTGAAATCCTATGCAGCAAAATGTTACCTAGGAAAGAATAGAACTACAGAGAATCCCTCACAGTGATTTCTAAGTGTTAAATCCAAAGCGCCTACATTATTCTATTAAACCCAGAGATATTTTTAAATCTTAAAATAGTCTGATATGCATCCTCACAACAACTATTTCACGTGTCAGTAACAGCAAGGAAGGGATCCATTACCTGAAGCCACCATGCTCAATTCCATGCTCCATGTACTGTAGAACCTGCTGTTCTTGTCCTGTGGAGAATTTTCTTCTGGGGCAAAAGGAGAGAAACTAATCTTAAAGTCTCCTTCCAGATACTGTGAGACCTTCTGTGCACTTGGATGGATAAATACTGTTGTATGCAGTATGAAAATTTGACTGCAATGTCGTAATTTCATCTTCATTCTTACTTTATTTGACTACTTGACTAGTTTTGACTTATTAAACCTATACAGATTGTTTTCTAAAATGGTTGCTTTGGTCATCTCAGCTCTTTTTGGATCTCTCCCTTCACAGATTTCCCCAGTTTTATTTTCAAAAAACTGTTTATCTTCCCTTTTAAGAGCCCATCCATTCATCTTCAATGTAGCTATTTTCCTATCATCACATTTCACTTACGTCAAGATCACTGTCCTTTGTCTAATTCCTATGTTTTCAAACAAGCACCTTTGTACCTTCTCTAATACTGCCTCATAACAATGAATTCTTCATCAGCCTTACAAGATTTCCTCACTATCTTCCTACCTAATGACCTTCATTAATGACCTTCCTAATGACCTTCCTTCCTAATGGCCTTCATTAAAGGTTTGTTCTAATGACCTTGACCCAACTCCAGGGACAAGTGATCACTATGAGTGGTAATAAATGTTCTTTTGAAAAGCACCAAAAATGTAGTTCTATCAAAATGCAGATTTTTCTAAAGAATATCATTTAAAATTTTAATGGAAAGATTGCACTTTATAGGAGTGTTGCATTTCAATACTAATTCAAATTATTTTTAATCATTTATGGCACCTCTTGTGCTACAGGGCACCCTATCCAGCTGCTGTTGAACACATTGTGCAAGATAAAGACTACTCTGATGTTCTGCATTCCATTCTTACCAAAACAACACATTTCCAGAAACAGCAGACTCGTACTAGTTCTATGTGAAAGAAGTTCCTACTTATTATTCTATTTGCTCCCTAACTCTCCCTTCCCCTCCTTCTCTGTCTCTTGCCCCCACCCCCAAAACCCAAAACAATACAAAACAATCCACTTTGGTACTCTAAAGGACATTCTGCTCCAAAGGGAAAAGTTATCAAGAATTCTCCAACTTGAACATGCATAATATGGTCTAAATAAACATGCTGTTTTTTTTTTCTAAAAGTAAATAGAAAGTAGCCAGCCATAACAAGGAGGAAGCTTGTTCTCCCTTGCCTTCAAGTGGAAGTATCTAAGAGATACTGGAGTCGGCGACCATTGCTATGTGCAGTTCTTTCTGCATACACACATGCTAAAAGCAACTTCCACAAGGTGGCCAGTGTGGTGTAACATTTGTGCTAGAATCATTTGTGCTAACTATCTGCTATAAACCAATCTATAATGTTCATAATGCCGTTGCTGAGGAGCCTACATTTTTTTCCAACTCACAACCCTACACAGATAACACAAAGCTGCTTGTATTACTGTTCTGTGGATAGTAGCTTACAATGAAGGACACCAAGTGTTTTTCGAGAGAACTGAATCCTCGCCAGATGACAGAATTCTGCCAACTGGAAATAAAGGAGGTGGGGAAGGAAACAGATTCTAGCTAAAGTTTGCTAAGTTCTGCCCCCCTTCTCTCCTCAGATAAAAGCAACATTAATTCCACATTTCACAAGTAATTCGGAGGGGGGAGAAAAAAAAAAGAAAAAGAAAAAAGACATGACTGTTCTTTTAGCATAGGGGATTTGAGCAGATATATATATATTTTTGGTTATTAATTCTGAAGATGATAGCAATAAGGTCTATGGGAAACGAAAAGCAGGGAGAAGCCACTCAAGAACTACATCTTTCAGCTGAATTAACACTATGTAAACACACCTCTTGCTGCCACATAAGGTTACAACTCATTTGAACTTTATTATAAGAACAAAAGTTTTTGCTACATACATCTCATACACAATGAAAAACTGGCCACAATGCCAATAAATTTTAACCAAGTAGTAATAGATGTGTGTCTATGAATTTTAAAGCAAAAATGCTTTCTGTAAGATTCTAGTTGTCCCAGGAAGGATCAATCTATCTCAGCAAAACAGTGATAGGACATTTAGTACTTGGAGTTTAGGATGCATTTAGCTACCACTAGAAGTTGCTTGTTACAAAGGCACTTAGGGAGTTGTCAACAGCCAGTTGCAATGAAACAAAGCTCTCTCATCAGACAGCTGTAAGTAACCAGGTAGCTGCTGGGTACTTTCACCCAATGGAGCTTGTTGTCTAGGAAGGGTATCCCAGATTTGCTGAGAACAGCATTAGTTCTACTGATACATATGATATATAACAAGCTGCTATGGAAACAAAACACACCTCCCATCCCAACTGATTCGCATCTAGCTTGGTGTTAAACAGATTGCCACCAGCGGTCCAGTTTTTTTCATTCTGCTTTAAGGGTCTGACAAGTTTTTGCAGCATAATAACCAAAACAATTACCTGCTCAGAACTAAACAAGCAAGGCTGTCAAAAAAGATAAACTTCAGTGTCATCTCTCTCTTAGAGTTTTTTGATTCTCAACTGATACTTGGATATCTGTATTTAACTGCAATTTTTAAAAGATTTTTCCTGATGTGATAAAAACACAAGTCCTCTACTAATTAAATACCTGAATTTAGACGCTGACACCACAGATATGCTCTAGAAGCATTTTAATTTACAAACAGCAATTCCCATTGACTTTATACCATAAAAAAAGCAATTTACAAGCAAGAAGCATATTCATCAAAACAAAATAAAGCAGCACTGAAATATTCATGTCACAAATCTAAAAACAAATTGAATACAAGAGTAAAATATCATTTGAATAAATATTTTCAAATTCATGCTATAAAATAATCCTTAATGGCATGTTATTAATTATTACAGCATCAGCTTAGCTAGCTTCATTTACTTCACATGATGATGAAGTGTGGAGTTGTGAGGTTACCAGTTTATATTGCAAGATAATGACACCAAGTCATTCAAACTGTTCAAATATTTATAATGAAGAACAACCATACAAATAAAAATCATTTTAAAATACCATTTCTCAGTCAGAAACAAAACAGTTCTAAAATTGTGCATGATTTCTATTTCTAATCAGATATACGACCAAAGACTTGCTATACAAGTTCCAAGGTTGAATTCATAGCATATGTAAAGTGGGAAAAACAGCAGTTTACTACCATAACAGGAATTACTTATATAAACTATGAGCAAACCTGCTCAGTTATTGACACTTAGCTTCACATCCCCTGAAGAAAAACAGGAACACATGTCCCAAGCTTATTTGTTTAGCATTTTTTTTTAAATGTAAACTTGCATAACTAACTTAATGCTTACAGGGATGTGCAAGTAATATTATAACTACAAATATTAAATACAACTATTCTGGCACTTGTTAAAAGATATGTAAAATGCACAAAGGTTATACAATTTGAACATTTTGAATGACTTCACTAAAATTGATTCAGTCACCAGGTATTATGAAATTTACAATTAATGAACTAAACAGTTTCATATAAAGAATTTACACAATTCCCCAAATACTTTCAAATATAAAATTTAATAAATAACCCTGACCAGTCTAAAAGCACCATTCAAGGGTAAAATTCCCTTGCAAAATAGATTAGGTGTTGCATATTTGAGTCCCTTTCAATGGTTTCACGTGAAACCCATTTAGAAAAATGACAATAAAAGAATCACAGTAAACTAATACAAAAAGAAAATCAATTAAGATATGTTTTTGAACGTAAAGCTCATTCAGTCTTTTCACAGCCCTTGATATTCTTGTTCCTTCCTAAATTTCAGTTTAAACACTAGGAGGCCTCATTGTTTTTTTCTAAAAGTCAACCAAAGGCTGCAGCATAAATATGAATTAATGCTTGGGAAGCTTGCATTAAAAACTACCTATTTTGACCTACAGTATATTCTACTGAAAAGTGAATTGACAGTATCCTTTATATGCAATTGAAAGAATTCCCACTAAAATGCAGAGCCAATCTTGAGGCTGTATTGACCTAACTGAACTTCTAATATCCTCTAAATATTTACATAGCTATTTACTAAATATATTTATAAATTTAATAGAAATTATAGGGAAGATAACCGATTAAGAAAACTAAGTGTTTGAAACCACAAACATTAGCAAAGATATAAAATCTTTTATTTTCACAGTTTGTAATAGGTTAAACATCTAGAGGAAAGGACACTGTCACTGTTTTCACATTTGTCTATAATTAAAAAGGTAGATTAAGAAGAGACTCAATTATGAACAAGCCTATATGATTTCATGACTTATTTTGTTGTCAAACTTTTCTTCATATTTTTGACTTTTGCATTTACTGTAAATGAAATGGTAACAGCTCTGTGCTAACCTAAAATTGTACAGAAACAAGACACTGTACAGTACTTCCATAATTTGTTTATAATAACACAGCATATTTTGACTTGGTGGACTTGTGAAATGAACTTCAATTACATAATGTTTCATGTTTCATGGCAATGTTAATCCTGGCATACTATTATGTGACAAGGCACAATTTAATTCCTGTTGCCAGGTTTGAAGTTCGTTTTCTACCAGAGTCACACACTTTATAAGTGTAAATATAATGCTCAATGATGTTTTATGTATGCATCCTTTGAAGCACTGCTTAACTTTACAGTACTGTGTTATGGCTTGATCATTCTTAACACTGCTAGCAGTGGAAAAGGTAAATGGCATATAAACACAAAAATGAGCAAGCAGAACTTGCATACTGTTGGATCATGATATTGTAGAAAAGGTAATCATTTTCTGCTTCTTAACAGTCCTGTTTCAAAATTTTAAACCTGAACCTGTACAATCAAAGTGATGTGTTTTTTGTTTGTTTGTTTTTATTTATTTACTTTTTGTCAGAGACAATTTTGGATAAGTCACTCTTTGGTAAACTCAAACCAGTTATAATAACTTTACAAATACAATAACTATATTTAAATAATGTTAAGATTGTGACACACAAAATTTAAAGAAATACATTATTAATAGCCCATATCCTGATATCCTCAACTTACACTACCATGAAAATAGTCACACCAAAGGCATCACAGCACAAGATGAGGGTTTAAGAATAACTGAATTTCTTAGATTTTGCATTTCTCAATCTTAATTTTTTAAAACTTTTTTTTGCATTTAATTATTTTAAAAACATATATAAAAAATCAGAAAAGCAAAAACAAACCAACCAAACAGCAACAAAAAAACAGTATCAGAAACACCAACATGTATTTAAGAGGGTAAACATATAGACATCCTATTTCCCCTAGGCAGACATATAATATCCCTTATTGGAAACAAAAATTTTACTGCTACTTCAAGAAGAAAACACACTTCCCACCTCCCCTCATCTCCCCAATTTAGGCAGTTCTAAGAGGAAAAGGCAAATTAGGTACTCAGTTTAACTGAAACTGCTCCCATGGAGCAAGTTGGGTTTATAATGTTAATCCTTGTTGCGGACTGTCACAATATTAAGAACTAGTGTATTTTAAAAAGTAACTGCACAAAATATGCCCCAATTTCACGGGCAAAGTGCCTGAAAAGTGTTTTTAAATCTACATAGAGCAATTTGAGCTACAGGAGCACAAAAAGAATTACAAGATAGCAAACCTACCTTTTTGCTTTCAGGTAATTTAGGAATGAGCTTTTAATTTCCAAATTTCAGGAGTTAAAGAACATAGTCAAATACATATTTTTAATATTTGACAAACAAACATAAGGACTAATTATAAAAAGCACAATTCCTCTGTATTTTAAAGAATACGTGATTAGCCAAATTCTGCTTATAAGGTAGAATTTTACACAGTAGTGTTTGCCAGCTCTTGCTTTTGAGGTCTCTTAAGCTATTTTTTTTCTTTTGTTTCACTGTTACCATTAGGTTTCACATTTTATATATTATACTGACCTAAACGATGAAGTTAGCACCATGTTTAAAAAAAAAAAAAGTGAAACAAAAAGATTTAGAGTACTTTTAAAGTTATTGGTGATTTCTTTACACAGAAAGCAACCATTGAAACAATGGGGAAGCCATAGCAACTCTTTGTAATACTAACACATGAAATAATAGACATATTGCTCACAATTCCCATAGAATTTTCTTTTTTATACAAAAACGTACAAATTCCAAGTGCTAACATATCACTTGGAGCTGTAAGTAGGAAGTCAATGTGCACCTGAAAACAGTTCTCTGTGAAGAGACACATTACAACACTGCTTGGAAGTACTGTAGTTTAAACTACACCATCCTTTCAGGTTAGTATTAGCGAACCACAGAGGATGAAGAAGTTAAATTCAGTTACCTGGTATATTTCTACAGTACGAAATAAAGGTAGATTCTGAGGCCAGTAAAAACACATTTAAAACCACAATGCTACTTTTGAGTTTCCTATTTTTTTTTATATATATATAGATCTATATCTATCTCTATATATAAAAAAAGGTCAGCACCACAGGTTGTCCAGGTTGTGTTCTAGACAACTAACAAAAACTCAAACAATTTAACCATAATTTAATAGATTTATGGCATTTGGTTTACATATGTTATAAAGCAAAACTATTAAAATAATGTAATTCACTTTGCTCGCTTTTGCACACAAAGTAATCATTTAATAAAAACCAAACATTCTTCTAAAAAATCAAAAACATCTTCCCAGAGTCCTAATTCCTAGGCAGAGAGAAGACCCAGCAGTTGAAAAACTGGTACACAGTATAAACCTTGACATACTTTTACATTCACCTCAACCTGAATAGGAAAAGTGAAAGCATTTTTTATATATAAAGCAATTTTACATATATAAGCAGACTAACTACCAGAAACAGTTAGTAAAAATGAACAGAATCCATTGTGATACATGGAAGGAATCAAATGGATAATATTCTCTCTCCTCCTTAGTCTTGCATAATCCTCATTATCAGCAACAAGATTTGAGAAATAAAGGGAGACTAAAGCTCCTTGGTATGTATACCCAGCAGAGCTGCTATCTTATTTTAATATCTTTCCCTGCTGTAAATTATGCTTGACAAATCAAGCAATAGGGACACTTTAGCAGACTTTTCCTATCCTTTCCCCAGTACACTGTCTTTTGTATTTTGAGTATCTTCACAAGAAAAAGGGAAAACAAAAACAGCCTCCTTCACAAAGAACGAACATTTATGTAGTCTTCTCCAGGCTGCTATACTTGTACTGAAGATTACTGAAAGAATAAAAAAAATTAAAAATGTATTATTAATGTGCTTATTTGGGTTGCACTTAGAATTTTAATCAGATGTGTTAGACATTGAATGGATTTCCATACTAGAATTCATAGCTTCAGAACCTGAAGCATCATTGTCTACTTTCTGTTCTACAAATGCCTCTGTTCTGTCTGGAGACTCTACTCTGTTTCGTACTTCTGTTACACCAGGGTGATTCTTTCGCAAATGCTGGTTTAGAGTACCCTGAAAAGGAAAACATTTTCCGCAGATCTCACAGCGAAAGGGCTTGTCATCTGTGTGACCACGAATATGATACTCAAGTTGGTCCTTGCGGGTATATTTCTTCCCACAAAACTTGCACACAAAAGGAGTTATTCCCATGTGCAATCGCATGTGTCGATCAAGGCTCCCTTTCTGGTTGAAAGACTTTCCACAGTAGATACAAATTAGCCTCTCATTGTATGGATACCAATGACCTCTTGCATTTCTTTCCCGTGGACTATTTTCATATCCTGGGTTACTCACCATGGTTTCACTGTCAGTCCCTTGCACCAAGCTCTGAACATCACTGTGCAAGTGACCACTGGACACCCGTTTTTGCCGTGCACGCCCCCCTCTGAAACAGCTCAGCATAGACCTTGAAGGACTTGAACTGGTTAGGCTTCCGAAGGCTTCAGACACACCTGTAGCCTGTGATGAGGCATGGGTAAATGAATAAACATGTTGTAACATAGACCCATAAGAACCAACATTGACTGCCACCACTTGCTCTCCATCCACCATTTCAGTATGATATCCATCATCACCAAGGGAAGAGCTATCAGAGCAACTTGGCCTGTCAGACTTTTCCATTTTAACCTTCACCTCTGCGATTTGACTTTCCCTTACTATCAAGTCTCCTTGCTCATGATCACCTTCAATCTGAATCTCATACTCAGACATACTCCCACTGCTTCCTCGATCCGAATGCCCTTCTTCTTGCAGACGACTGCGTAGAGTTTTGCCCGGAGTAGTTTCCATCCTAAGATCACTGCCTGCTGTTGACTGTCGCACCTGAGAGCAATAGGGGGGAGATATCTCAATAGGACTGGCAAAATAGTTGTTGTCTTTAACTCCATTGCGATTTTCTGAATTTTCTTCAGCACCAACAGTGACAGAGTCAACATCACCAACACTGATCTTTGAATGAATACTCTCCAGTATTTGTGTGCATTTATCAATGACACACTGCATTTGTAGAAAGCTGGCTGCAGTTAAAAAACTGACAACATCCTTTAGCTGTAAAGACATCCTTCCAGTGTAACAAAATGAAAGCAACTGTTCAAAAACATTGGGATTTTTAATAACTGATATTGATAGGCCACTCATGGTACTTAATGCTGAATGGTCGCGGAAATACGGAGAACTGGCAGCTAGTACTGCTTTATGGGCTCGAAATGGTTGACCCTGAATATGCACAATTATGTCACATAGCTTTCCTTGCAAGCGGAGTTCATTCAATTGGCTCAGAACAGTGTTGCTGTACTCAGGCACATCAAACTGAATGAAACTGCTGCTGTCCATTTCTACTGATGTAAAGTGTAATCTGAAAGGGGAAAAAAAAAGGAGCATTTACTACTGAGTATGGATACACAACTTTTAATTTAAAAGCAATGCTTACTACAATGCTGAAGTAAAATCGTCTCAATGAACTATATAAGCTGTTAAAATAGCACAGTTGGTATAAACGCTTGATACAATACAAACAGTTGATCTCAGTTTTTCACATTTCTATCATTCAAACTACGCTTCTGCAATCTTTGCAATTCAATTACTTGTGATATATCACAGGCTCCCTGGATGTTTCTAGGTCTAACCAAAAGAAACTTTCTAATTTTGATCTCTGGTAAAAACTGCATAACAATATTCCTATCATCCCAGAAGATTAATAAAGCTGCTAAGCAGGTCAAAATCTTCAGAATCATTACTGGATCTTTAAGTAAGAGACTATATTGATAATCATAGGCAACTACATTGTTAAATTGCCTAAGAATGACTTCTGGAAAGTATTTCATTAAGTCTGAGAAATCTACTAAAGGAAAGCCCAAGATTAATTCACTGCTTACTGTATATATTTATAGTACTTAAGTTTGTTGACACGGATCAATGCCATTTATGCCACTTTATGCCTTTCTGGGGAGACAGCAATTACTCTCTTTTGATTACGGTATCTTAGTACTTGCAGATGAGTTCAGGTTCCTAGAATATGGAAGACAAATGGATTGCGAACACAGAATCACAGAATATTCAAGGTTGAAAGGGACCTCTAGAGATCATCTAGTCCAACCTTCCCACTCAACACATGCTAGAGAAAGCATGGGTGACAGGAAGAAGAGGCCATAGACAGAAGAGGAATCTCTGTCCTCTTCTAGGATTGTGTAACAATCCTTATGCAACATTTTTAGAACTTTCAGTCCTCTCTCAATAAAGAAATCCACATCCTTGTTCTCGAGGTTTGTCTCTTGAGGAAAAGAAAAGTTCGCCATTAATATCTTCATTGAATAAGCCGCACATGGATCCTGGTAGTGAGCAGAGAGGATTATGGAATTGAAGGTCAATAAGGCTAAGGTGTCAGTGTAGTGGACAAGCAGCAAAAAACAAACTCATATCAAGGGAAGCACACTACATTGCTTTGAAAGTAGCAGAAAGAGATCAAGCACACAAAACAGTGACAAAAGCAGCATACAATGAGTTTCTATACCCATATGTTCTTAAAAAGTGCAAGTGAACAAGGTACAGCAATGCAATTGTTGTAACTTTTCCACCTCAGTTCCTTCCTTCCAAAACACTTTCTGCTTCTTGTGATTTTGAAAACATCTGAAGAAAGTGTTAAATAAAACAATTAAATAAATAAATAGCAATTGCACTTGACAGAAGAGACTCCCTCCACTGCTTTTGGCCAATCAAGCTCTCAAGCTCTTAAATCTGTCTCATGGAAACGGTCCTAATGAGGTGCCAGTGAATATAAACTTAATGGACAGGTAGGACTGCAGTGGGAACTGCACTTAGCCTGCAGCCATACTGCTGGGTTAGTACCAGGGCACCCCAACTTTTTCGCATGGATTTAGACAGACAAGACCTATGCAAAAATCTCAGCATTACACACCTTGTCAGAGAGGCAGTCACCACTGCATGTAATGCAATGTTTTACTGATGGAAAATGCTTAGAAAAGAATGATTATCTTTTTTCATAAGAATCCCCAATATCACTATCTAGGAAATCATGTTCACCTTCAGATTATATTCCCATAGACAAAAAGGTATCATTTTATTTGTCTGCACAATGAAATCAGTAGCAGTATAAACCAATTACAGTAGAACTAACCAAAATATTCTTCAGAAAGGTAATAATTAATTACCAAGACTGGCAAGCTGGTAGTTCTTTTAAGACAAAGTGATTTATTCTTGAAACAACCTCTAAGATTATTACAGTTTGAAAACCTCTAAGATTATTACAGTTTGAAAAGGCAAATATGATACCTTTCATCATTTTTTTAAACAGCTTCCTCTAAGTGGAAATATCTAACTGAACTGTCCTGAGGTGACTGCCCCACAGTTAGCCAGACAATCATAGGAAAGTTTTGCTTCCCAAAGCTATGAGACAGTAACTATTTTAACCCTCATAACTTATATCTTCCAGAAGAAAAAAGGTAATGTCTAGTCAAGATACATGACTAGGATCTTCCTACTGAAATAACCTATGTGCATTTAATATTTCTCATTACAGTTTAAAAGAAATTTATTTTAAAAGTTTTGTTCTATGAAAGCTCTTATTTCACTTAGTAATAATAGAAGGTAACAAAATATATACGGTATTTACTTTCACTGCCATATACAGTGACAGCAGGAAAGCATCATTTAATGGCAAAATGAAGTCAATTTGCCAATGTTGTATATCTAAGCTTGCATCTGTTCAATTTCATTCACTCACTGAATCATATCATTTATGTTCATTTCAATTCACACAAAGGTGTGAGAAAAGATTCCTTGCATTCTCTTTAGTTAGCTCATCATTCCTTTGATAGCTGGAAGAACACTTAGAGGTTAAGGGAAGGAATGTCTAAAATAAATCTTTGTGTACCAACTAGATTTTTCATGCTTTGATTGCACTATGTGGAATTAACATTGAAAGCTGTTTAACATATGTAACATAAGCCACAGCGCTACAGCGCTATTCTGCTAGTATGCAGAAATAACTGTTGAAATCTTCACTCTTTTTTTTAACTGGATATCCAGAGGTTATGTAACAGCCATTGTTCATTAGCACATGACAACTAGAAGCAAGATTCTTGCAAGAAAAGGCAACAAGGCCCAAGGAATGGTTTAAAGAAATTGTACTGTGCCAAATGCCTCTAAAACTCTGAAACATTTACAGTACAGAGACAGTAATACAATACATACATGCAACATTTAATGCTTGCTTATTTAGACTATTTCCTTAGTCTTTCATTGTTTACACTGCAGGAATGTCAATTTTTAAACAATTTTTTAAACTATGAACTATGATCTGGAACCCAACAAGCCTTTTGTGCGACAATTACTGTTAATGCTATGATGGTAAAAGTACAAGTATCTGCTTGACTACACAAAGTGATAATCAAATCCATTTTCTTTCAAAGGTCAAGGGTTTAATATACCATTAAAGAAAGAAAAAAAAAAAAAAAAGAAGAAGAAGAAGAAGAAGAAAGCATGGACTTACTTTCCCAAGTATCCAGGAGTTCAAGCATGATCATTCCTTATCACTCTTATTTATGTTTTGGGCACTCTGGATCCCCTCTGGGTTTTAAGAAATTCGCAAAGTTGAATTCTAGAAGTATTATTTACCCTAAAAAAAAAATCACCAAACAACAATCTTTTCTTGGATCAATTTTGTTCTTTGGTTTAAAAATTACTCAAATTTATTTAAACTTAGACACACTGAAGAGTACAGAAAGGGATTGCATATATTGTATACAATTGTACATTGTAAATACAATTTTTTGTATATACAAATATAAATTGTATATATATTGTATATAAATTGTATATAAATAATGAATTTTATTTCTCAGAATATATATGTCACACAGTGATTCAGATCAAAAATTAACAAGTTGAAACAGAGGTCCCGAAATACGCAACAGCACAGCAGAAAAGTCTGCACATTTCTGTTGTGGCACAGAGTTTCATTTTCTTTGCAGCATCTCCAGTGGCATAAAACACACTTCAGCTATGGCATCTTTACAATTAAAGTGATGTCATAAACCTTTTCAGTTTATTAAAGTTGCTTACTTGTTGAATTTGCCACTAACAGATTAAAAAGCTCCTGTGGGTATGATTAAAAACAGCTAATACAATCCACTGTTTAAGTAAACTTTCTAGCTATATTTCTGCGTACTTTTGTTAAGCTTCCTATTGTTTTAGACAATCTATAATACTCTTGATTCCAGCCCCTCAGAACTAAGATGCAGAAACTAAGATGCTTTTGTAATAATGTAAAGATATTCTAATGCAGAAATTATGGAAAAGAGAATTCCTCACAAAAACAGAGCGCTAAGTACAAATCTTGATCTCAAGCCCTCTTTCATCCAAATGCTAACCATTCATGAATCATTCTGCAAATAATTCATATGGTGCACTAAATTCTGGATGTTGTCTGGCAGAATTTGAAGCAGATTCATTTTCACATTAACACACTCACAAAAAGATGAATGTGCTACTAAGAAGCACTTCAGAGATGTATTAACAGCAGCTGCCAGAGAAAGCAAAAAATTGTTACTCTTGCCATCCTGCGAAGACTCTTTTTAGTACTGGACATTTTTAATATCCAACTGCATAAACATATATACATAGTGCTTTGTACACACACACACACACACACACACACACACACTAGTACTGACAGCACTCTGATGCTGTTCTTGATCAGTAAAACTCAGTGGAGCAATTATTAGACCTGTCTATTCAGCATTTTATATATTAAAAAAAAATTATCTGAGCAAACTCCAAGAAAAGGAATCCAGAAACAGAGGTCACAAGGACCACTTTCTTCCTTTATTCCTGAATTGCCCTCACAATTACTTGTCTATATAGAATTACTGTAAGAATAAAAAAAAAAAAAAAAAAAAAATTGGTCCATAAATAAAGGATCATTTAATAACTAGATCAGACTATAGAAATAAACTCATTTTGGCTCCAGAACTCAAGAGACTATAAAACATATGGACCTATTTGTGAACACAGGAAAAAAAAAAGAGATTACTAGAAGATAAAGTACAAGCAGCCTAGATCAGAACAACTATTAAGTGTCAGACAAATAATGCTTACAGGCAGACTTATGGATTCAAAAACACCTTAAATCAGCAATATCTTATAAATATTCAGCACAAGCTTTTATGTTGTCCACAGATTTCATAACATGCATGCATCAGAATACCTTTTATTTAATCTTCCATGGTTACAGCCAATATTTCCTAGATTTCCCAACTTTGAGGAATTCACTGTTGAAGTTGGAGTAAAAGATTTTTTATGTTGTTACGACAATAAAAAGTATTTATTTACAAAGAAGTACTTAATTAATATTACCTATCTCTTTTTTTAATATCAGTCAATCCTGACCATTTTTTTTGCTATTTTTTAAAAAATAACCACACTGTCTAGATATTTGTAACAAACGTATCTGTAGTAGGCTTGAATGGCACAAAATGTGTCCAAAAAGAACATCCTCTACCATTTTCTTTCTTAAGTGTTTTCCTAGTCTTGCATTCCACTACTTTCAATAGACTGAACGTCCTGCAGCTGTCATTAAAGCAAAAGGGTCACTGAAGCACAAACTCCTCCTGACTCCAAGAGTGGAGCACAACCGCTCTGCTACAGATGTCAAAACATTGGTTTTGCTCTGATGTGCTGCAAATATTTTCATCAGGCGCTCTGGGTCTCCTACACACGCGCACAGGCAGCGTGAGTCTCTCCCTTCTAAACAAACCTGGCGGTTTTGCAGGGCCCTCGCAGCAGGGGCAACAGCGGCCGCGTTGCAGCGGCGGGCTCGGCCAGCGGCAGCCGCAGACCGCTCCGGCTTGGGCTCCCTGGCCACCGCTCCCAAGCACCTCGGCCAGCCCGACCCGCGCCGCTCTAAGCTGCTCCCGGTCAGCGAGGAGCCGACACACGCGGCCTGTCCGCCCCCCACCCCGGAGTGACGTCGGTCCCTGCGGGAGCGGAGCAACCGAAGCGACCCGTCCCGACCGCGCCCGCAGACCCCGGCGCCTTCGCTGCCGCCCCCGCGGGGCCTGCTCGGGAGCGGGGACCCCCCCCGGGAGCGGCACCTGTCCGGCCGCCTCGGCCTGGGGCTGAGTGCCCGCCGCTCACCTGGGGCTGTCGGAGCCTCTCACATGGCAAGTCCCGTCCCGTCCGCGGCCCGGCTCTCGCCCGCTCCCTCCGCCGCTTCCCGCCCGCTCCCACAGCCACGCGCACCCGGAAGTGACTCGGAGAGTCGCGCTTCCGCTTCCCAGTGACCTACGGTGGCCGTGGCTGGCGCCGCCCCGCATACCGTCGCCGCAGGAGTCACGGCTGCCCGGCCGCAGCGGACACCGGCTCGGGCAGCGGCAAGGCCCGCAGCGGCGCGGAAAGGAGCCCCGGCACAGCGACCGCCTGCGCAGCGCTCGCGCTGCACGCGTCCTTCAGCCCGTCGCGCACTGGACAAGGGCGTAGCCCTGTGGAGCGCTGGCGGGGCCGCGCTAACCTACCGCGGGCCGCACAGCGCTGCCGGACACCACGCCGTCCTCCACAGGCGGACGATGCGTCTTTCTTGCCCTGGAAAACACAGGCAAAGTCATCTTCAGAAAAGCAGGGAGGTGCAATGGGGCAGAGCAGCGGCCACGTTGAGTCTCTTCTGGCTGCAGTGTAAAGAACAGACAGTTAAAAAGCACAGACACGCAAGCAGCGTTCGTCTACTGGTATCCGGGAATCAAATAATCGTGTTCATTCATTAAATGTACATCTGAAGCAACAGTAAAGGAATCCACTTACATCACATTCCATTTAAATGTCCATTTAATGTCCATTGCTGAACATGGAAGACGGTGGAAGGTATAAATACTGATTTCTCCAGGAATTTGCCAAATATGTTTTGAGTGAAATCATTTTTTGATAGGAAGCATCCAGATGTTGATTAAGAAGTGTCAGCTATGACAGTTCTATGAGGACTAAGTACATAGAGGGTGGATAATTTTTTTTCCCCCCCTCAGAATACCCAAAGAGAGGCAGGAAGAGAAGAAATTTGTCATAAAATCCCAAAGGAACCTAATCTTTTACATTGTGCAAAATCGATTAATTTTTTTTATGTTTGGATAAAGAAAAAAAATGGCACACAACAAAACATTCTTCAAAATTGCCTGTAGGCCTTTGGGACATACAGTTGCTGCTACTGTTGAGTGTTCTGGAATTTTATACTACCCTGCACACACTCTACTTCCAACTATGAGATCACTATTTGAGAAAACTGGTTATCTTAAAGCCTGACAGAAAAAAAAACAGAGAAACATGACAACTAATTATCTACACTGTAGAAACAGACCCATTTCACTATTTGAGAAAACTGGTTATCTTAAAGCCTGACAGAAAAAAAAACAGAGAAACATGACAACTAATTATCTACACTGTAGAAACAGACCCATTTCTACACATTCATCAGTGTTTCATGTTTTAAATATCCATTTTTAATGTTTTCTTTGGTGAAGCTGGCATTTGTGACATTTCAAAAAGACGAGTTACTAGATGCATTTTTTTCTTCAGATATTTAATAAAGTTATATATCAACAACTTTCAGATTTAAAGTTTTGCTGGAGCACTTTTTCACTTTTTGGCAAAAGTGAAATATGAAATACTAGTACTAAACATGCATTCCTTTCATCCAAGCTTAAGAAAACATTTACGAATTTGACAGATAACATTTATTAAAACAAGTCATACAAAAGAGGAGCATGGGACTCTTCTATAAGAAGAAAATATTGAACAGTAACATTAAATTAATTAAAACCATGCTGTACAATTAGGACAGCAATATATATAGACAAAACTATCCAAACTCTTCAATACAGGCATAACATCTCACAAAATATCAAGATATGCAATATTACTGTTATAAATGACTGGCTTAGAATAAAAAGTTATAGCTCATTAAGGAAGATTCACTCGACTTGCATAAACAGCTACATTTCTGGAAGAAATTATGGAACCCTCATGGAAAACTAAAGAGGAGCAGCAATTGACAAGACACAGGCTTCAAGCAAAATCAGAACTCAAAATTTAATCACATTAAAAACATACCATTTTCTTTTCCAGCATTTTCCCATAGGGCACTGACAGTTTACAGTTGTGGCTAAAGAACTCTAGCTATGTAATTAAATATTTAACTGACAAAAATATAGCATCTTTCCCTTTGTTGTTGTAAGAAAGCTTCCAATTCTGTTAAAGCAACAAACAATATACTGCTGTATGCTCTCAAGATTCAGAAACAGGTCAGCTTACTGGCACCAGCACAAAAATGTTGAGATTACAAGATCTGAAGTGTCTCCTTCCAGACTTAACAGTACAGTGATGTCAAGTATTGATTTTATAATAAAGATACCCTATGTATCAACCCTTCATCACCCCTTACTCTTTACTTCTGATACATGATAAAATTGCTCAAAGCCAGAAACACCTTGGACAAAAAAGGGCAAGGATCAAAACTACGAACAATACCTTCCAGAGTGTACCCGATCATCTACAAAAGACAGTTGCTGCATGCAACTGCTATTAAAACAATACCCCCCCATCCCCCCCCCCCAAAAAGTAGTGTATAAAATAGGAACCTCTTCCATCAAAAGGGTCAGATAAACTCCTAAAGAGAGATGTTAACACTGCCAATACTTATATTTTCTCAGCATTGCAATTACTCAGATTCCACAGAAATGAAGACCTTAATTACAGTATGGAATGAAAATCCAATTTGACCCACATAGTTGAGCATCTTAATCATAAAAATGCAAATAAGTTCCTAAGCAGTATCATTACAGGTGAAGAAACTTAAGGGGAGATAAATGAAATTGACCCATATACACATGAATTTGTATCATATACATATATATATGGATCACCTCCCTCATTCCCACAAACAAGAAATGATTTCTTGTATCTTGAACTAGTCCAGCCCAACAGTGATGTTTTAGAGTTCGACAGAAGCTGCATCTGAATTTCTTGTTCTTGGTTTATTAAGACCAGCTCCATGGGGCATGAAGTGCAGGGTATCAGTAGCAAGGAAGTGCAAGCATGACCTGTGTGGAAGGTCTTAAATGTTCCTCTGGCAGTCAAATCTGGTTTGGAAGCTGACTAGAACCTATGTAAACAACCCATTGCATGCCAAAACTTCAACTAGAAGTGCACGACACCCTTACTTCAGCATATATTAGGGAGTAGCAGATGCTAGTGAGACACAGGGAGACATATAAGGAAGAGATACCCCTGGGGAAAAACAATTGGCAACACAAGGAAAAATGCAGGGCTCATGAATGAAGATGCAGTCTTGAAGGAAGGTAAACCTCTGAAGGCCTATCGCCCCTGCATGAACCGTGCACTTTTGAAGTGACTGAACCCCGAAGGACCCATTCCAGAGCAGGTGCAACCCAAGGAGAAGTCACACAGGGGCAGAAACACCAAAGCCCAAGGCAGCAGAAGAGACCAGTACACATATCATGCAAAACTTCTGTGTCAATTGCCACCTCACTAAGGAATGGGAGAGGACTCACGCCACCAATAAACACATAAAAAAAATCAAAAGTAGAAAAGGGGAAAGAAAGGTGTTTGACTTAAGGCTGAGCCTTGGGGAAGGACAAGAAAAGMCGTTTCCTCAAGTGTTTCGTTGTACTTTGTTTTCATTTTCTCAATGTATGAATAGGTGATTAGAAGTTAACTGGCAATAAATTAAATTCTGTAAAAATACTTCAATGTGAGACTGTTTTGCCTGCAATAATAGCTTATGAAAAGGGACGTTAGAAAAAAATCTCAAATTTCCCTTAAATTATCATACTCTTAATTAGATCACAACAATCATAACATTTTGCTGTAATCAAAAACCACCAGTGGAGCAAAACTGGTATTTCAAGACAATGTTATCGTACTGGTAAAATAGTAAGAGGCCAATATGAAAAAGTATTCATGCTAAATCACTAAAAAGAATAAGGTTCTATAATATGATCTACTACACCTGTATAAGACTTTTAAAGTGCCTCTCTCTGTACATTTTATTTTAAAGCTTTATTTCAGAATAATCTAAATAGGAATAAGGTTTAACTTTCAAATATTCCACATAAAAATAATTCTGACATGGTAAAAAAAAAAGTTTTTGCTGGCAGCTCTGTAGGATGATCTGGTTTTAATGAAAATAAATTTTTACTTGACCATAGTTCTCAGTCCAGACTTTCTGACCAGTCTTTTTTATGGTTAAATGTTGTCATGGTTAAATGTACTCTTAATCTTTTTTATGTAACACTGGTGTCACATTTTGAAACAGTCTGATAAACAAGGTTTGATATGTGTGTCTCGCTCCATATGAGGAAGAAAAACTTTACTGTAAGGGTGGCAGAGCCCTGGCATAGGCTGCCCAGGGAGGTTGTGGAGTCTCCTTCTCTGGAGATCTTCCAAACCTGCCTGGATGTGGCCAGGTACCCCGCGCTCTGGGTGGCCCTGCTGCAGCAGGGAGGTTGGACTAGATGATCTCTAGAGGTCTCTTCCCATCTCAACTATTCTATGATATGAGATCATTCTTGAAATAAGAATGAGAATACTGTCCTCAAATGTAACGATGAATACTTGCAGAAATGACATCCTATATGTGGTAAGGCCTTGGAGAATGGAAAGATAGAGCCAGTGAGTGCAGAACTCTTTCCTCTACACTCATGTAAACAGGCAAATATTCTAAGTTTTAATATTAAGACAGTGTTAGCAGTGTGGAAATAAACCATAAAGGGAATATAATTAAGTTTAAAAAACATACATATAAAGATTTTTTTATACAAAGTGCTTCTATACATTAAGCAGGTTACAGTGTCAGTGAGCAAATCCCTGTTCAGTTACCTTGATTGCAAGGATTACAGATGGCCACCACAGTATTTCATAGAGTTCAATTAAGTGCTAATAGGAACTCCTTGGTGCACACCATTCATGCCCATTGCCAGCAATGGTTTCATCATATTTGGGAATATCTGTTTTAACAAAGTTCCATATGAAAATATCTGAAACTTCAAAAGATCAAGAGCAAAGAGCCTCTAAAAAAATTAAAGTTTCTAATTAAAATGCCAGAAAAAAAACACAGAAATCACAGCTCACTGCATAACAAGCCCCAGCTTGTGCCAGACATTCAGGTTCAGAATACAGTTTGGTAGTATCTTCCGACAATTTTCAAATGAGAGTTCAAAAAAAGCATCTAAATGAGAATCACATATGCAGTTTTACTTCAGTATACAAGGTCTTTTTTTTTTTTTTTTTAAATTTAGGTATGTTACTCTGAACATTACAATATCATATATATATTAGTTGGGTCCAGACAGGCTTAGAAGGCCTTTGATGCTGGTTAATTGTTCTTTTGCTTGTTTTGTTTTTAAAACACACTACCAGCACAATACATCAGCTTTAATTATAGTCAATCTATGCACTAAAGGCTCTTTCCTTTTTACACAAGGCTTCAGCAAACTACAAAGGGTTAACTGCTCTCCTACAGGAAAGCACTAAGCTTCCAAGCCCCAAATCCTATCATCTCCTTTACACCTGATGCTTTCACTCTACCTGCAGGGCTGGCAGCAGCTCTCAGTCATAAACACTCCATCTTTCTCCAGTAATGAGACCAGCACACCGATCTGAACCAAACAGAGCACGAGTCCCACTTCCCCAGCAACAATCCAGACTTCAGATGTGACCATGTTCTTCAGTACCACTAATGGATCCAAACATAATACTTTCCACCTTTTTTTCAACAAGCAGTTTCATTCAGAGAGGCAAACAACTCTGGCTGCTTGTGATCACATGTAACCAGTCACAGTAGTTCAGTACCAAGGATCTGTATTATAGGTCAATGTTCAAACAGTAAAGAATTAAATGTATAAATACCTATCAATGACTAAATCATTTCTCTAAACATAGAAGTTCTCAAACAATCTTAGTACCAAAAAAGTCATTTTGTTAATGTACAGAGAGTTTGGTACTTGCTACTGCAGTAAGCTATAAACAACTGAACCTACGACTACAGTTATAATGTTTCAGTATTTTGGATAAGATCCAAATATTACATCTCCCCTTTTTTTTGATAATACATACTAATTATACACACTTCTAAAAGCTTTCATGACATAGCAATCAAGATAAAGGGTCAAACCAAGAGTCATACAGCATTAGACCCTAGAGGAGCAAAGACAAATTACATTTAAAATAGTTTTAAGATTATATAGTGCTCAACTATAGTTAAGTGCTTTACAGACTCTTTAAAGAGAGATAAACACAAAATTAGACTAGATTTCTTTAGTAAAGATGGATAAAAACAGAAGAGATAGAAATGCAAAACTAGCCTTAATACAGCCTTTCATTATGCAATACAATAAAGTCTACTTAATAAAGCATGTTAAATGTGTTAGCAGTTTCCAGACTGAAGTGATATTATATATATTTTTCTCCATTAAATCAGGAATCACGCAAATTTTACAACAGGTAACCCACATCACCTGGTGTGGGCATCCCTGTTGTTCTCTTCCCCATTGAGGACATTTGGAATACACAAATATTTGCAGAGTGTGGCTCAATTTAGAATTGAGTTTCACTATGAATTTACAAGACTTAGGAAGACAATGGGACTTCCGAATACTGCTGCAAGGGCAAACAACAATATCACTAATACCTTACAGGCCTAATTTGGCAAGCACCTTTCAGATTAATCATTTGCACTTCACACATACTGCAGAAAATAAAAAATAGTCTGGTATACTCATATCAGCATAATCATTAGACTGTTTTTCTGAGAGTTTAAATTTCACAATAGCAAGTACCAGATATTATTTGCATAATTAGTTTATTTTGCTTACACTACCAAAGAAATGTAAGCACTAATATTTTAATTCATCTCAGTAGTACTCTGCTCAGCTTTAGAAGCTTGATAGGATTTGGTACAGATAGTTACATGTCGGTGAAAACTGTCCCGCCACATAAATCTTTTCCCACAGATATTACACTCATATGGTTTTATGCCTGTATGAATTTTCATATGGCCAACAAGATGGTGTTTCATTTTGAATTTCTTACCACAGACACCACAGCCATAAGGTCGAAGACCAAGGTGCATACTCATGTGTCGATCTCGTTGACTCTTGTGTGTAAAGCTTTTACCACACTGACAAGGATACAGCTTATCAGCATGCGAGAAACCAGTGAGGGATGTTTCTTCTTTAATTCCTGTAGCCATTTCAATACCTTCTCCATAACCTGCTATCATAAGATCCTGTCTGTGAGTACTTAAATTTCCATCTGCCCTTTCACCAGAAAATTCCTCCATAGAAGAGCCATAGAAGTCAACTTGCTCATCATAATTGCTTTCATCTGCCTGTTCATCAAATTCTGTCTCCATCTTCTTGTCACCTATATGAAAGTCTTCAACACCTGAAGACTGGATTGAATGATCTGCCTGAATGGCATTCACAGATTCAGAAACTTGGTGTTCATCATAAGGATTATCAACACCTTCGCAGTCCTGTTCAAATCTTTCTGGTTTCACGTGGATCCACCGCTTGTGAGACATGATGCTGGGTTTGCTATATATTGGTCTTGTATACTGATACTCTGCACTATCACTAGTCCCTTCTTCACCATCCTGACTTGTCATGCCTGTGCTGAGTCTATCATGTTCTGTTGAAGAATTACTGGGAAGGTACTCATGTTCTGTCAGTTGACATGATAGTTCATCTTTAGAACTTTCTTCTTCATTTTCACCATCCCTCAGCTCCTGCACCTTGTGGAATTCTGTCTGTCCTCCAGAACCAAGTTCAAAGGTTTCAACAAGGCCGTTGTAACTACTACTACTTGGGGACTGATGATCACTGCCATGGTTCATCTTCTGACAGAGAACTGTTGGATTCCCCTCTAGCACTTCAGTGCACTTATCTACTACATGCCACATCTGAAGAAAACTTGCTGCTGTCAAATAACTCACAATTTCTGGAGCAGGCATAACCAACCGACCCGTATAGGTAGACAGAAGAATGTTTTCAAATACTCTAGGATTCATCACATCAGGCAGGACTATTCGTCTGCTATTTTTCAGGAGCACCTGATCACAGAAGTAAGGCGAACTAGCTGCAAGGACAGCTTTATGGGCTCTGAAGAGATGGCCCTGAACTACAATGGACACATCACATAATTGTCCTTGTTGGCGCTGCTGGTTTAACTTCTGCAAAATGGTGCTAGAAAAATCTGGAAATTCCACTCGAAAAGAACTTGAGCCAGACTCCATTTCATTACAAATCTAGTGTTGCACTGCAAGAAGAAGAGAAAAAAAATCAGAAACTCTGATCAGTAAAGTTTGGTCTTTCCAGTTGCTTGTATTCCTCCTCACCCCCCTGTCCTTTAGGGAATAGCATTTAATAAGTTCATACAGAATTTGACCCAAAATTCTAGAAACTTGTATCACTGGGTTATTTTGAATACCCACTCATGGCCCTTTCCATTTCATCTTTCTCCTTTTTGAAAACCATATTGATGTCACAGATTTCAATGTCAACACATTTTGCTGCATTTCTTCTATCCACAAGCACTCATCACCTAAAACAGAAGTTATGAACAGATATTTCTAGCCGATAGGATGATTACTTAAGCATGAATTTAAGACAACAACCAGAAAAAAAAAAATCAGCATTACGGTTAACTGCAGGATGTTACAGAGTTTATAAAAATGTATGAAATATTCTACATTTTAACTGCCAACCAAGCCATCCCATTAAACCCTCATTAAAATATGAGCGTACTCTTATGAAATGTTCCATCTTAAAGTTTTCAAAAGTCAACATATTGATTCAGGCAGCATACAGCCCCAGTGAGAATGAGGCTTACAACTCTACTAGGGGCATTTCCTTGTCATTCTATTTACTGAAAAGTGAAAATGCAACATGTACAGTTGCAAGAGTACAATACAATCCTTTACTTCTGAGCTTTTTCAAATGCTACTACAAGATCCCTAAAATTAACATTTTTAATTCAATAGGGTTTTTCTGAAACAAGGAAGTGGCACACTTTTTTTTTTTTTAATGTTCCTTGTGTATGTGTGACAAATGACTCAGATGTCTTACTACAAAGTTTATGTAGTCTTTGGTAATTTCTGCCTTAGAATTGAAGTTTAAGATAAATTTACATGTTTTCAACACCAGAAATAACAAGTTTAAATGCAAACACAAAGGACCAACATTAGCTCCATGAATAAGTTAAATTTGTACAAGTTTTCAACTACGCAATGTGTAAATTGAATACAATAAAACTCTGAAAGCCATGGAGTAACAAGCAGCTTTCCTCTGTCAATGCTTAAGTAAGGAAATGTCAAAAGTTTATCCGATGGGGCTGCATAACAGAGATAATGTTCAAGAAACTAGCAGACCACATACACTAACAGATTTTTAAGCACTTTTTGAATATCATGCAAAAATAGAAACTGAATTACAAATAGCTGCAGGAATCAAAGTAGTTCTATGGAAATAATAATCTTCCTACAAATGACCCATACAATAACTGGAGTACTTTCTACAGTTACATAACTGTCAATAAAAAACTGTTTTCACTGGAGGAGTGCATTAAGATGCCAAAATCTGGCACAAATGCATTGCTAAGTGCAGAAGACTACAGCAACGTTTGCATACAAAACACAGACTGCACATGTGCCATTATGTAAATCACTCAGAGGTTAACCAAAAGCTCATTATTACATAATCTCTGCCTGACTCTTCTGATCTTTTAACTCTCATACTTGACACCTTTTTCCGCCCAGCCCATAACCTCAGTATTTCTTATCCAAAAGATGAGAGTTAGAAAAGAAAGACAAAGCAGCCTATGGAGCACAGGTGACAAAAGATTACTCATTGCCATCTCAAACACTGGTGAATAGGACTTCCACACAAAAGTGCATAGTGTCAGAAAGCCATACAGACTTTTCAAAAGATACAGGATCAGATTCTTTGTAAATACTGTAACACATATACAGAACTGAAAATCATATATTTAAATGTCTTTGTAAGTTTTCACTAGAAGTATGGTGCCAATCCTACTCTTTTGTGCAGGTCACTGACTACGAATAATAATCAGTCATTTATGTAATCCATTTGGAACCATAAATAAAAAGGTACCTTTTTGATAATTTCTTTCAAATCTTACATTAGTTGCCAATGCTAGTATGAGGACTGGAAGTCCAAAATAATGCTCCCACTGAGCAGGAGGACAGCCAAATGACTAAGGATCTTGAAAACAAATGCGATAATGCAGTACAAAGTCACACCTGCTTTTACATGCTGATAAACAATTATTGTTTTACTGTTTGAAATTACACTTTAGAGATGCCTGTCAAAACTCTGTGGCTTATTAATTCTCAGTAACCCAAGACAGCTAATTAGCAAATACTGCTTCACATAATTCAGGGATGAGTAGCTGCATCCTGCCAGGACGATCATCAGCTGAGGAAACATCCTGATATTTGCAAATCTAGGGCAGCATTACTTTCAGGTGCTTTGACTAGAGTTCTGGAAAGGAGGAAAGCCCTTGACATCACAAAGCATTATTTCTCAAAGAGCCCTGGCCTTCAGCCCTCATAGCTTGCTTCAAACATGAGACAAGCTAGAAATAAGTGTGCTTATCTTCGAACAAAGTGAGATGTGTTCTCAAAAGTGTCTGAGAGTCTCCATGTGCAGGTACAAGATCAAAAGCAGCACATTTACTCCCTCCAAATTAAAGAAAAAAGAAATGTCTAGAAACAGCACACAGTTCACTAGAAATGAGTTCCCTTAAGCACAAACATGGAATTGCTGAGTACTACTGTGCTTATTACCTAGCTGTGTTTTAGCTAGTCTGAAAGCAATTCATCTGATACAAATATATGCTGCTCAGCGATCTGAATAGTTGTTTAGTAAATCTAACTGAACATTAGAAATAACAGCTTTTAAAACATTTTCCTTAGAAACGAATCTCTCAAATACCTACAGTTAAACTGATAGTCTCAAAACTACAGGTTCTGTAACAGTAGAGGGAAGTATTTGTTACCTTTAAGTTTACTGTTTACCACCTGAGTTAGTTTTTCATTTTCGGGTTTCCCTCAAAGCATCAGTTCTTCTGAACCATAACACAAATCAAGTTCGAGAAGACCTGCTATTCACCAAAGTAACAGAACACTACCTGCACTACTGTTAGGTATTTTTCCACTTTGCTTAAAATAGATCAACAAAATTGTTGAAGTACATTTCTCTAGTATAATAAACAATTACCTAATACACAGTACACAGTACAAAATACTACAAAAAAAAAAAACTCTATTTATGTGCAGATGCATATTTTTTTTTCAGAATACTCAGATGTAGGAAACTGTTTTTCAGCATTTGCATAGGAAACTGTTTTTCAGCATTTGCCTATGATAGAAACACCCTTTTACAATGCATTGTAACCTGTCCGCAGGTTGTAAAACTGCTACCCTGAGCAGCCATCCTTCAGCAAGGACACAGCTTAGTCCCAGAATAAACACTGCTAGGAAAGCATGTTAATTCGCTGTTCCAGGAGGCAAAAAAAAAAAAAAAAAAAAAAAAAGTTGATATCGCATATAACAAAGCCGTTTAAACATGCACAAGATCATTTTAATTAGCAAGACCAAACACTTCATGAATATTTCACTCACACGCCAAGGTTTTACTTCCCCGTTTTTACAGCCTGACGCTTCTGCTTTTCCTTGACTCCCACACACCGGAGAGCACCGCCTTCCTCGCCCGCACAGGGCGGCCACGACCAGCTCAGGAGAGCGGCAGGGGGCACAAGCTCCAGGCACGCCGCCCCCTGACGCTCGCTTTTCACCCCCGCCGCGGCGGCCCTCGCACCTCTTCCTACCCGCCCCGACCCCATCGGCTCCTCTCTGCCGCGCCGCCCGGCCCCGGTCCGCGCTCAGGGGAGGGTGGCGCGGGCCTCGCCGGGCGGCAGCCTCTCACCTGCGGGCCTCACGTCCCTCGCATTCCGAGCTGCGGCCCAGCTCCCCCGCCGCTCCTCGGCCCACGCCGGAAACCGCCCTGCCTCGCAGCACTTCCGCATCCGGTCCCGTGGCGGCCGACTCCGCCCCTTTCTACCCGAGCCGCGGGGTTGGTGGCGAGAGCTCGTGTTGGCCCGCCCCTTCCGGGGCAGCCGGAAGCAACGTTGGGGCGGGGCGCGCGTGCCGGGCGGCGCTCAGCGGAAGAGTGTTTCCGGTTTCAAGCGGAGGGAGAGCGCGTGGGAAGCAGAGCTCGGAGGCCGGGACGGGTGTATGCCCGTGGATGTTTAGCACATCCACGAATAGCACGGAAAATACTACCAATAATTAACAAATGCAATGCAAATAATATATATTTAATAGTGATAGCCAATACAATATCAGTAATTAATATGAACACATAATGAGCAGAGGTCTTCAGAAAGCCCCGTTCCATTTCATGGAAAACAGCTGTGGTCCAGCTACCGTGTCCCAGCTGCAGCCTAAGGCCCTGAGGATGAGCAAGCAGCTACTGCATAGGAGAACAGCCTTGTGCTCCAATCCACATCCTGTTCTTCATGTTGGCAAATTAATGTTTTAATGTAAATTAATGTTTTAATGTAAATTAATTTACATGCTCAAGGTGACCCTGCGTGTGCAGGGGGGTTGGACTCGATGACCTCTGAGGTCCCTTCCAACCTTGGGCATTCTATGATAATGTGCTTGGGGGAAAAGGGTAACAAATGCTAGTAAGAAATTCTGCAAGAGTTTGCATGCAAGATTTTTTTTTTTTTGACAGAATTTGTGGTTCCAGTATGTCCTGAAACTTTTTAATGTCTTTGGCCAAAATCATATCTTTATTACCCTTTCTTAACAACACATAAAGTACTTCCTGACATTTCCTAATGTGACTGTTACCTGTACATGTAAGGAAACACGGAATCCAATAATATCTCTTCCCTACATTTAAATATTTGATACTCACACTCTTCAAACAATTTTCTCAAAATTACTATGGCACTTTGCAATTTCCTGACTATTGAGCAAGGAATCATTCAGCAAAAGCCCATATACAACAATATAGTACCAGATGAATATATAACAAGCAAATGAATATGTAACAAGCATGATTGTAATAAAATCACTGTTAATAAATTATTCTATGTATAAATGAGACATGATTCTATTATATCCAGTGGGATCCCATTTACACATTGGCAGAGGAGAAATGACCTTGGACAGCTCTCTCTGTATTGTTATGTGTGGAATATATACAGATGAACATATGTGATATATCTTGGCATAGTATGCCCCCCTTTTGGGTTTTCCCTTACAAGATTATGTTGAGAATAGCAGAAGTAAAGAATATGGGTGGCTAAGGAACTGCTCGCAAAGCATAATGATGTTGATTCACCAGCCATGAGAATGAAGCCATAGAGTTGAGTCAAACTTGTAGTCTCTAGTAAGGTAGGTAATAGATGTAAAAATTGTCCAAGAAAGTAATGACAGCTCTGCTCATTCTGAATCACATAGTGGACAAAAACAGCAGATGTCCCCGATGTTACCTCCCAAGGTTGAGTTTTCTTGCCCAGCTGGTAGGTAAAGAGGAGAAAGAGAAAAAAGGCATCTGAGCTGGAAGGCATAATACTGTAGAACATCATGTAAGAGTGAAAACAAAACAAGACTAATGACCTGTTTTGCATTTAGCCCTGCACATGTTTGTAGGAGCATTATGTCAGCAACACTATAAACATGCCTAAGAAGTGTAAGGGACACATGCATTTTGTTGTTTCCCCAGTGACAGCATTCCTAGATTCTCTGAATGGGATGTCAGCACTTACTGGTGTCCTTCGTTTAAAGATAGAATTGGTTTGGCATCTTTGGAAAGGTGGGTTTTGATTCAGTATTGGGTGTATAACTAAGTGCAATTTTGAAGGAAATAGTAAGTCAAAGTGGTGGACTGCGCAAAAAAGTAACATCTGTCATCAGTCCAGTGGGTATTCATCTCTGAGCTTTAAAAAGTAAGGGAAAGTGGATTCCTGTAGCTTTGTCGTAAGCAATAGGATAAGGGAAAAATACTTTCTGGAACCTGATGGGAAGGAGCTATAATTTAATACCCAGAATTAAACATTCCATATGATTGTTAACAGGCATTTTTTGTTTTGTTTTAACTGAAGTTTGGGCAGGAATGTGCCATCTCAGATTACTCTTCTCCAAACTTAGCATGTAGTAAAGTATGGATACATTCTCTTTGGAGCCTTTGTAAAAGGTTTGTGTTTGGTGATGGAAACAATATAAAGGACCATAATAACTTCCATCCTCCAATAATACTGCTGGTTTTGTCTTGGTATTAAGGTGTATTATCATATAAATCTATATAAGAATTGTTCAATCTATACAGTCAGAATTGAGAGTTGGATTTAGTGATGGAAAGCCAGCATTTAATTCCTACCAGCTGTTTTAAACAAGATTTTAAAGAATACCCATACAATGTACTGTGTTTAATTTCTCATATTACCTAGAGTATATCTACTGAATTTAGGCCTGGATGAATACTTGCTTTAAATGAAACTAATCAGAGGGTTTAATTTCTGCAGTTCATTGCTAGCTGCATGCAATTCAGAAAACTAATTTAATGCAAAACTGAGCAGAGGAAAACAAAGATAGAGCTGGAAACTCACCAGCATCACACGTACTATACTTAGAGATGCATTTGCCATGCAGGGCTTATGCTGAAAAAATGCTTTAATGTTCACTTTCTTTTTACAATTTAATTTGGAATTTGATGTACTTTCCAATATAAACAATCAATTACAATAACTTTATCACCAAAAAAAAAAAAATCCTTGAAGATTCTCCTTTTTCTTTATTTCACTGGTGTGCTGTTTCAGAATTTGGCAGTGCTGTTGTGGGCACTATCAGCAGGGACAACAAGATAGCAGTAGCTGGTTTTACCTGAGGAGCAAATTGTACTGTCCTAGCAGGGTCCTGTCTGTTCACTCCTGTTGCACTCATGCCAAAGACGTAGATCTGCCAAAAGACAAGGAGTACAGTGAGACCACTCAATTGGCCATGCAACAAGCATATACATGAGCTTTACAAAAATAAGATGAGGTTCCATAAGAACAATTTATAGATTGCAAATAGATCAAAGACTTGCTTTGAAGTCTCCAAACAAGCCTGTGGCATTCATAGTGTTTTTGTGCCAGCATATTAAGGGAGATTGTAACTGTAAAACTAGTTGCATTGTCTCTTAACTTCATAAAATTATAAAATTGACTAATTCTATTAGGAAACAAGCCATCAAACAAAATCTGAATACTGATTTTGACTGTATGCTAACATAAGCAGAGCAGCTGATTTCTGGCCATTTTGGGAAAGAAACTATTGTAATCTTGTGGCTCTTACTCTAAGGAAAAATAAAATTTCAAGTATAGTCATCATGATTGCTAGATGAAAAATACAACATTTTTCTACAGTTGTCAGGATGCATCAAAATAGCTCTATGTTCCTTGGTAAAAACCTGCTGATTTCAGGGAGAATAGTACTACTGATTTTCATTTTTATTTCAAATGAAGTTTTTATTCATTATTATCATTCATTTTATTCATTATTTATTCATTATTATTTGTTTGTTAGGAAACAAACAAAAAGGCTGTGAGAGGGTGTTCTTTACAAATGAATATGCCGTGATTTTAGTCATAAGGACACCCACCTTGGAAGACATGTGGCATAAGCAGTGACTATACACATTTCCCAGTCTTGTCTGTTTAGATGCCCTGAATCTACCTGGAAACACTCATGATTTTAATTTTAGCTACACTCCTACTACTTGGTTTCCCTTATGAAACAGTCTTCAAAGAAAAGAATTGTGATTATATTTATCTATCTATGCATCAGTGCACTTAGTTTGTTGACATCCCTGTTGCCACTTACCTAATACCTTTCAGATGGCAGTGATTCAGTAGCTTAAAGAGAGTGAGCCTGGGAATTTAGGCCGTGACCTCTGTTACTTAAGATAATTCTGTAGAAGATTTTATTTCTAAGTTGTTTCTGTCATTTCTGACTTGAACATAGTCTTGATATGCTTGAGTTCTCTTTAAATGATATCATATACTTAATTTTGTCTACATGTTTTAGGCCAAGCAGGGCAGGTGAAGCACTGCCAAAGGCAGCGAAGGACTTGTCAGTGCTCCATAAAACAGCAGATGGTGCTGAAGTCTAGGGCAGCAGCACACACCGACCCAGGACGTGTTCTAGCTTTGACCAGGTCTCACGCGGATTTAGCACAATTAGATGTTATCATTTCTGATCATTTTGTGAATCTGGAGTCTATTGTTCAATTGTGATTATAATTTTTAGAGCAAAGGAAGTCTTGTGAAAATAGGGTAATTTCATTTTACAGTCAATATTTATGGAACCAATCTTTAGATGGAGACAAAATATAATCTAAATTTTATAACATTTAAAATTTAAAATGACATACTAAAATACAAAATCTGAAAACATTACAGATTTTAGAAAAGGCACTGTTTTGTGAACAAAAGAAAGGAGATACTATAATAATTAGACATGAAGTCTATGTAAAATATTAAATGGGATCCAGAATATGCTAAATTTGAACAAAATTTGTCCAGTCTTTGTTTAGTATTGACTATGTCTTAAGTATTTGCATTTTGAAGTTGTTGTATGAAATCTGATTTGATGCTTTCTACATCAGTCCAACCTTTTATTTCAATAGTGAATATATATATATATATATACTTTCATTATATAACTTTTCATTTTAGTACCTGCAAAATTTGGAGTTAGTTTGTATTTGAAATAGAAACTTATTTCATCCAATGCTATTAATTATGGTTAGGTCTTTTGTTTTTTTTCAGTGCATTTGCTCCCTAAGAAACATAGATAGATTCCTTAATATATCAATACTGAAGTCACACTTGTAGCATCTGCTAAAAAAACAAACAACAACAAAAAACAGCATTTGGGAATTAGAAATTGATCAGAACTAGCCCTCTCTTTTATTCCAAGATAGTG